GTTCCTTCTTTGTGCTATTGGATGCAAGTTTTATCCTTTCAAGTCTCCATTTTAACTGTGGTCCCTCTTGGCAGGTACCAATGTGCAGGAAATGGAGTTTCTGATCATTTAAACATTTCTCCGCCAAAAACTTACAAGCAGATGAAGTCAAGTAATGGCTGGAATCCATATCAAACACACAGATATCTTCTGAGTAATGACTGTCCAAGGAAGGAAAGCAAGCATTTATATATGAAGATCAGAAAACATAGATGACACTTAGTCGATTTAATACGTAAACTTACCACCCAGTTTTCTTCCCTCATTTTTTTTTTTTTTGCCCAATTTCCCCACTTTCAATCCCTCATTTCATCTTGCAAGCTGCCTGGTATTCATTTTTTTATTCTTGGTATTCCTCCAAATTGACTTCAAGCTAGTCTAAAGAATGCAGTAATAAAGATCTTCCATAATTCGACTCCAAACAACTTTCTTTTCTAAAATTATTTTCTCATTCTCCTAGACACCTCTTTATCATCTGATGGTTGCTTTGATTGCTTTCTTGACTGCTAAGCTAATTCTTCCTTTGCTGCCATCCAGCCCTGCTCAGTCGGCACTGTGTTATCTCTCTTCTCTACCTATGCATATCCAGCTCAGTTTCTGGTGACATTTTCAAGTTCACCCAGATCAACCCAGCCCATGACCTTGAGTAGCTTCTCTGAATTCTAAACTACTCATTAATTGAAACATCAACTTAGAACATGTAACATGGATTCTAGAACATTATATTGCTTTTCAAGCGTGTGCTGTACTGTGATTAAGAGGATGAACATTTAAATCGTTCCCCATATAACTTGTTTCACCTTCCTGTGTAGATGGATGGGGCCCGTTACCATCCAGAGGTAACAAGTGACTACAGTTTTTTTTTTCTTTTGTTGAGAAATCAAGGTCTCCTTGATTATTCCAAATTTGAGTTTCTTGTCCAATGTCAACCTTAGAGTCAACAATCAATGTGCCAATATGAAAGACTGTTCCCAGGAACGAGAACCCAAAACTGAGAGCAAAAAGCTGTGGCTCCTGTAACACCTTAAATCTCACATTAAAAAAAAAAAAAAGATCTGAAGTATATAGGAGGAGGGTGGAGAGGAAAATCAGAGATAAAATAGCATTTCCAGGGCACAGCGTGTATTCTCAAGATTTGGTATCACACAGAAAAAGAAAGAAGCTTCCTCTGATTAAATAGACAATGTGAATGTCCTATGTATCTTCCAGAAGACCATCTACTGGTGAGGGGACTGTAGTGGCAAGAAGCCACATGGAGGAGGGTAGACAGAGTCACCTTTAGGCTGAATTATGTCATGGAGATAGATGGAAAAGCACCCTATTGGGGCTGGGGCTCAGACTCAGTGGCAGAGCACTTGCCTAGCATGTGTGAGACACTGGGTTTGATCCTTAGCACCACATAAAAATAAATAAAGGCCTGCTGTCCATCTACAAGTACAAAAAATAAATTTAAGAATTAAAAAAGTTGATGAATAATTTCAATCTTTTTAAAAATAAAAAAATAATGAAAAAAGAAAAGCACCCCGTTGGACTCTCCGAAAACAACATTTGCATCCTTACAAAAAAAGATCTCAAGTATATAATAGGAGGAGGAATAGGAGAGCACAGAGGAACAGGAGAGCCCATTCAAAGTAAAGCGTGAAATATTCCCAACTGGACAGAGTCTTGGCTTTCCACCCAAGCGTCCATTCTTTCACCTCTTCAGCAATTGAACTCTAATTTCACTCAGAATGGTCATGTGTCCCACTAAAGAAAGACATTCCTTGCAGGTGCCCGTGGCTCTGGGAATAAGAAAAAGTTAATGAGATAGAAGCAAAGGGTAAGTCTTCTGGGAACACTTAAAAAGAAAGAATGCCCTCTGATTGTGGTCTCCCTTCCTGTTCCAGCAGTTTTGGCTGTGAAATAATTTTAAGGATGGCAAAACTGAGAGCAGAAAAGAAATTCTGCCTTATGGAAAATGGGGGAACCACCAAGCTAGCTCTGGACCACCCATCTCTACATTTATTTTGTGACATAAAGAAACAGTATTTTATCTCCCGTGAATGCTACTTTGATCGCTTTTAAATTCAGCCCAAACTACCCCTTAAATGAACGAGCAATGTTGACACTCCAGTTTTGTTTAGTAAGGAAAAGGCAGTTAACCAACAAAGAGGAGACAGTCATGGAAGTCATGTGAGGACATGTCATTTTTCTTCTTCATGATTCCCAGCATGAAGAAGAAATAATCAGGAGGCAAAGGTGTGTGTGTGTGTGTGTGTGTGTGTGTGTGTGTGTGTGTGTGGGGTCCATGATCACACCACTTCCTCTATTTACTTCAAGCTATTGTAGTTGCAAAACCCTTTTCCTGTTCTTAGTGGGGAAAGGAAGGCTTTTTAGCATAGGTGAGTTTGACATTTTAAAGTGGAGAAGAGTAATTTAAAACCAAAGTGAGATTGTTAAAAAAAAAAAAAAAAGCTATGCAAACTTAGGGAAATAGGCTGAGAAATCATTTTAAAATTTGCTGCCCAGCGGGGAAGGAGCAGTTCCACAGAGCACAGGGTCATCAGTTATGTGGAAATTAATATGCCTCATGTGTGTGCGTCAGGAGCTCAGCTTCTCCATCCAGCTGGAAAGACAGTTTTTTCCAGTTTGCCAAAACAGTCCACTTACCCACAGTCTTCTTCGGGAGACATACAAATGCATTCAGATCCTGACTGTTTTTGACCTGGCTGACAATGCCCTTTTAATTTTGTCAGAATATCTGAAACAAAAGAAAAGAGAGAAAAGAACAGTGCACAGAGTGGATTCCCGTTGATAAGCATGAATTTAGGAGAAAAAACCAGGGGCCAAGGGTTCTCATTTATCTCCTAGAGTTCAATCATTCATTTCAGCTTCTTCAAATAGGTTGTCATGAAATATTCCTGCTGAAATGTCCTTTCCAGCTCACCGACACAGTCATTTCCCGTCCAGAAATGCTCTTAAGTTCAGAGAACTAAAGAAAATAAATTGATGGAATTTTTGTTCATTTGTTTTTCAAGTGCTCATTGAACATCTGTGATGTTCCCAGCACTTTGCTAGGTTCTGGGGATAGTGGGTTGGGCAAAACCTGACCTAGTCTGTGCCCACAGAGTTTTCAGTCTTGTGGGGCAGGCGGACGTTGATCAAACACAATAATACATATAGAACTGCAGCCATTATTAAGGCTATTAAAGAGAAAGCATATAATCAAGCAAATTGATGTAGTGGAAACAGGGAGGAAGACTGTTTGAAGCAGAAGGAACATCAGGTATGAAAGTGCTCCCCAGGGAGGCAGCATGTGATTTTCCTGGAACTGAAAGAAGGGCAGGTTGTTGTGGTTGAAGTGCGGAAAGGCTGAAGCATGAAATACGAAATGGCCTGAGAAGCAGGAATGTGGTCAGCTGTGCACGGTATAACAAGGGCCTTTTTCTCTTCATTTTCTAAGCAGTGGAAGGTCTTTGATGGGTTTTAAGCAATGGGTGGTGTGAAAAAAAGTCAAGTATGGGTTTTGAAAAAGAAATGGATCCTGGCTTCTGTGCAGAGAATAGATTTGGAGAGGCATGGGGATTCAAGAGAGGCATGTCAGAGGATCCGTGGGGCTGTTATGGTAATTTGAGTGAAGGGGATGGTAATTTGAGTGAAGGGGATGGTAATTTGGGTCAAGGTGCCCTGGGTGAAGTGAAGAGAAATGGATGCATTTGAGTTATCCACAGCACGTTAAAACCAATGATGTTACGTATTATGGTAAGTTGTGAGAGCTTTCAAGTATGATCCTTAGGTGTCTGATTTACATAAGAGACTAGGCATTGTCGTCTTATCTGAATGCAAAATTATTAGATGCTTAGTTTTAGGGAGAGAAAGGAGATGAATGAACAGTCCTCCTCTACATTTGTTGAATTTATGGTATCTTTTAGGGGAAACCAAGGGGAAAACCTTGGTTACCTTTGTTTATACTGAGGCCCACCCAGAGAACCTTTAGACTGGTTCTGTTGGGCCTGAAACTGACCTCCTGAGCATGTTGGATGAAACCAAGGAAGCCAGAATTAGACAGGCAGAGAGGCAAGGGTGATCCAGAGAATGGAGGCATTGAAATGTTAATTCCTTCAGAGCCCTTCTTCCACCCTCATAATCTGCCCCTGTTGCTAAGGTAACCTGTCCCAGGGATTGTCCCTCTTCTCAGGGAGTTGTTAATTACCATGCCTTCCTGACTGGATCACTGCTTCCAGGCCCCTTGGCCCACCTGTTTTCCACCTTTTGGGCATCCAGCTGAGCTTTCCTGGGCCTAGTCCTGTATGCACTTCTTGGGATACCAGAATACCAGCTATGGCCCTTCCTCTTCCTCCAGGGAGAAGTCTATGTTCCCATTTTAAAATAAACCCTGCTTTATATGCTTGCCTTGGTGTGCTTCTCTAATGTTATACTTCAACATGTGAGGGAGCAAAGTCATCACTGGTAACAGGAGGTATCACCACCTTCTTGGATCTGGATCGGATGAATCAGACACCCACAGGACTAGAATGGCCTTTGGGAACCAGTTAATTGTCCAGGGTGGAAAACTGGCAGTAAGAAGAAATTGCCATAGATTGCAGGACAGAACAGTGGACTCAACCCAGTCTCTCCTCTTAGCCTATTAGGTGGAAGGTCTGAAAAAGGAAGGAGAGGGGTTTAGGCAAAAAAAAAAAAAAAAAATGGAAAGATCCATAGGTTTTCCTCTTTAGAGCTATTTCCATTTCTTACTATTATCCTCTGTTAAGACCCTCATTCCCTCTGGTGAAGTCTGGCCCAGAACCTTTATAAACACAGAGGCCTATAGCTCTGGAAAGCGGCAGCTACTAGGATTGATAATGACATGGGATTGATCTTCTTTGGTTTCTTATAGAGTTTTGTTTCTTTGCCCCTTTGTAAAGGCCAGAAAAAGGCCCCAAAGAGAACCAACTGTCGAGTGGCCCAGAGCACTGCTCTGTCACTGCTGGTTTGAAATGGTCAGTGGCCACATGCTAGGGGCCTTTGGTCTTCCCCACAGCCTCACGTTGAAGCTGCTGCTGGCTCTAGGCTGCCCACCACCATGTGCAGCACAGGGGCAACTTGGAAATGAGCAATTCTTTCATCTTTGACATGCTGAGGGCAAGAGGATCTTCTGAGGTGCTGCTGGAGGTGTTGGGTTCTCAGAAGGAAGAAAAAGAAACTGCAGCATCTTGCTTCTTCATGGGTAAAACCCTTTTTCACACTGAAAGAATTAGGAATCTTTCCTGGCTCTGTGACAGCTTAAAAGTCTCTTTACCTCCTGAGTCCAGGTTGTCCTGCGGAGGTGGTCGATAAATCATTGCTTTGAACTATGAGAAACCCTACGTAGTGAAATGTGGCTTTGGGGAGCCTGGTGGTAAGAGGGTGCCCAGAGAACACCCATTTGCAAGATGATTCCTGTTGATAGGGGAAGTTCTGTGTTTGTCATGGAACTCACTAATTCAAAAAGCTTTGATTTCTAAATCCCATCCTGTCCCGAGGTAGAAGAGATGTTTGCTAAGCCCCAAACAACTTGTTTTTCCCATCTTCCTTCTGCTTTGCTGAAGAAGTTTTTCACACTGAGTCCTTTTACTGTACCTTCCCAGCAAAATGACTGCTTGGGCCCCATTTTGATGTTAGATCCAGTCTCCATCAAAACTGGACCATCCCACAGTGTCCCCCGTTTTTCACTAACAAATGAGTCTAATCTTATTTCTATAGTCCTAATTAATTTTCCTGGTCTAGCTCATCCCTGTGTCGGTTAAGCATCCAGCCGCTGCACTGGCCGTGGCGGACAATACCAGGTTATTGTCTTTTTCTTTCTCTGACTGCTTTCCTTAGTCTTTCTGTCAATATTATGTAAGATACGATATTCCCTTCCTTTATACAGATATAGAGCGTGAGCAGATGCCCCCAGCCCCCACACCAGCTGACTATCTCACACTGAACTTGCATGGATGGAGGGCCATTCTCTTCTAAAATTTTGCATTATTTGATTTCAATACAAATGTTTCCTGAGAGTCAGCTTTGTTTGTTTTCAAATCTACTTATGCCAGATATCGTTGTATAAATTGATTCAATATATAAACTGGCAGAGGGGGAGAAACAGAGTTTTTAAAATAAAAACCAAGGTGAAGGTTTTGATCAAGTAAATAAAAGAGATTTTCAAAAGTCACTTTTGAATTAGTTGTGGATGAAACCACTGAAAGATTTAGGAGAAGGTATACAAAAATTCAAAACATTCTCTAAATATTTTGCTTTAAAAATGTTTTAAAATTTTCCTCTTCTTTTCAAAATAATGGTTCTCACCTCTAGTAGAACATTTGGATTAGCTAGGAGAGTTCTTATTAATTTTGCTTATTTTGCTTAGAATTTTTATTAATTGACACACAAAAATTGTCCACAGTTATGCAATCTCATGTGATGTTTGGATACATGTATACACTGGATAATGTCTAAATTGGAATGAATAAATCTATGTCATCAAATAGTTGTCATTTCTTTTTTGATGAAAACATTCAAAAACCATTCTGACTAGAGGATTAAAAGGAAAAAAAGAAGAAGAAAAGAAAGAAAACCCAAAAATGCTGATCCCATTTTAGCTCAATGACCATAGTCTGAAGAATGTGTCTGGAGCAGATTTTTAGAAGTTCACCATCTGGAGGTAAAAACCTTTGTTTTAGAGAAGTTGATACAAAAAAATGTAGATGATTGTTACGGTTTAGATATCAGATGTCCCCCAAAAGCTCATGTGTGAGATATTGCAATAAAGTTTACAGAAAAAATGATTGGGTTATGAGAGTCTTTCCCTAATCAGTGCGTTAATTTCTTGATAAGGATTAACTGGGTGGTGATCATAGGCATGTGGGATGTGGCTGGAGGAGGTGGGACATTGGGGGCATACCTTTGGGGTATTTATTTTGTCCATGATGAGGGGAGATTCTCAGTCTGCTTCCTGGTGCCATGTCCCCAGCTGTTTTTCTCTGCCACACTGTTCTGTTATGATGTTCTGCCTCATCTCAGACCCTGAGGAATGGAGTTGGCCATCTGTGGACCTCTGAAATCATGAATTCCCCCCCAATAAACTTTCCTCCTCTAATTGTTTTGGTCAGGTCTTTTTAGTCATAGCAGTGAAAAAGCTGACTAAACCAATGATAAATGAAGTTCATTTTGTTCAAAGAGCATTAGGAAATTTCTGTTTTAGGTTAATAGTAACATGTGTACTTAATTAGTGTGTTTCTTACTTCTTTATGGCTCCCCACTTGAACAAAAATTTCAGTTAGCCTTCAATTTATGTTGTTTGATGAGAGATCTTCAACTTCTTCTAAATATTAAGGTTTTATATTGGAAGAAACTCGAACTCACCCTATAAAATTTGAAGACATCCACTCAACCAGTTACTTATTATTTGCTGCCTGAAATCATCTACGTGGGGTAGACTATGACCTAGCCTTCCAGTGGAATCTTCTGCTTTCTGACTCCAAAACACAATGAAAAATAGTGCTGTTGTAGATATAATTTCAGGGATCTTGGCCTTATCAGAATCCTGAATCCTGAGCTGCTACTTACCTTTTTCACAGGTGAGTGAGTTTGAAATGGGTGGTGTCCAAGAATCCCCCTGGCATGTGTACCGTGATGGCCCAGCAAGCACAAAACCTTTGGGGCAGGTTAGCTCAATGGATTCCCCAATTTTATATGTTCTCTGGAATGGTGTAAGCGTCAGGCCTTCTTGGACAGCTGGCTTGAGACACTCTACCCCTGCAGGGAGAGATCAACATTTCAGATGTGGTTAGCGATGCAAATGATTGTTTGTGACTCAAAAGATGATGTGAATGAGATTTTTTAGCTGTTTCCTCTGAGACAATTCTCTGAAAAACTTCTGTGAGTCCTGGTATCTGAGATTGCTTTCTATCGAACTGAGTCCAGACATATCCAACTTTCATTAGTACATCACTGGGACCTTCTACTTTCAAAGAACAATTTCCTTTCCTTTTCTATCTTTTGGGGTTTTCCCCACAGTGAGTTACCATGTTTTGAGTGGCACAGAGGTAGAACATTATAATTGACACTAGTCTTAACTATGATGCAACATATCCCATAATAATGCATAGGGTCCCCATTTGGGCATTTTTGAATATCAGTGTTTACTGTAGCATGTCTGTGCATAGGACCGACAAGCTCATTCACTGTCTCAGCAGAGGATGTCAGTGTGCTCCAAGAACTGTGCCCCAGAGAAAACTGCATCTCACATGGAATCCCATTTCTGATACACAAAGAGTCTAAGTATCATCTTCTTGGGACTCACCAATTTGTATCAATTTGTACACCAGGCAAGACAGATGTCTGCAGTTAGCTATGGTTTGCAGACTTCCTGTATTTCTTTTTAAGAGCATGCTTCACAGTTTTGTGTGCATGAGGCTAATATGCAGGGGCAGAAGAACTGAAATATGAGACATTTTGAAATCTAATTTTAGCAAATGAGCTCCATTTACTGCTTCACTAAATCTTTTCACCATAGTTACTAAAAAATAGTAAAGTATACTGATCTGAAGGTGTGATTTTTCTCTATTTATATTGGGCACATTCAGAGTAGTCACACAAAATGTTTGCCCAGTTCTCACGTTGGCATTCTATATCTCCTTGACTCCAGGTCCCATCTGGTAAGCATCTGAAGTACTGGTATCCAACAGCTCTGAATCCAGTAAGGCATGAAATCTCAACTTCTTCCCCAACTGAGTACAGTTTCTTTTCATTCTAGAATTAAAACAGAACCCTCCAAATTATTAATTCAACAAATTACGATATATAAACATCTCAGGTCAACCTGAATTCTGTCTATTCCATCACCTACAAATAATTTATTCCATCACCTACATATAATTTAAAAATGTTATTCATCTTGTAGTAACCCATTTGTTATTATATACTTTTCTAATTAATAGATAATTAAAGTACAAATACTGTCATGTAGGGATAGGGCTTACTAAAATCTTTAACCAGTACCACCAAAAAAGGAAGAATAAGATTTTCAAGATGGCAATGGATCTTATACTTCTAAGTTTTGAATATTAACTTTCACTTACTTTATCATCCTCACTTCCCATAAAACCTATATGCTAGTGAGACACAATTACCTACCATTCTTCAAACATAATTCTCATCTGTGCCTCTCTTTCTTCAGTTGCCCCTCTCTCTCCACTAAACACCTTTTTTCCTGTCTCTCAAGAATCAACTAAAATAGAACGTCCTCTGTGAAAACTGCCTTGGTTTCCACAGCTTGTGGTATATCATCCTTTCAATGCTGGGGGCAACCGACAGAGCTCTGTTTTATAAGGTTTATCACATTTATAAGCCCCATGTTGACACTTGGTGGCAACTCTACAGATCTCTGTCTCCCAAATACTTACCCAGGCCTTAATAACTTTGAAACTATGCAACCACTATCCCTCCTGGGGGGACTTGTAATGCGACATCCTCTCCCTTTACTAAGAGGCAGGAGAGTGCCAGGAACTGCCTGGTCAGTTATTCTCTGAGAACTGCGGTTGGGGTTCTGAAGGGAGGTGAAGGCTCAGTTGTCGATGTTTACTATTACTTGGGCACATGATTTAACTTGTCCCCTGGAAGAGTCCTAGTTTCCTGGATATATAAAGCTTTCCTACTGTCGATTATTGAAGGTCTGTCTTTGTTTCCAAGCAAAATGGAATGATGAATAGGATTAATGATTTCAGTGTCTTATTCAAAGACTGCACACTATTTTTTTTCATAAATTTCTCCTAAAATAAATGATCTTCTTGAACATTTGTTGTTTCCATTTCTCTTACAAAGCTATTATCTACATGTGTATGTTGTAACCATTAAGCTTAAACCACACATCTGCTAGACTGACTAAACAAGAAAACTATCTAAAGTCACTGTCACTTGCCTATAGGAATAGGACTTGTCTTGATCACTGAACAGATGTCCCCATGCGTAATAACATGATTATTGTAACTTGGAGTTAGGTGTGTCTGTCTCTGAATCCATACGAGGAGCATTTTCCTGTTGTGACACGTGACTAAATCAGCCAGGATCACTCCAGGAGAACTAGGCTGGCATGAAGTAATGACACACAGACAGAGAAATACCTTTTTATCTGGGTTCTGTGACAGTCCCTCTGACCCAGTTCCCATGAAGGAGGCAAGGCAGGCAAGAAAGGGAGGGAGCATGCCTCCAACCTGGGTTTTATAGACGAGGAGAGCTAATCCATGGAACATTCTATCCAAACAAAACAAACAAACAAACAAAAAAACGGCAAAAGGTAGAATTACAACACACAGGTGGGTGTAACTCAACCCCATCTGGTGATGCCCACTCCCAGAGCTGCACCTTTCTTATCGGAGCAGAGGTAAAGTTCACTTGCATTGCAGAGTGCAATACCTCTTTGCTGAGGACTTAAAGATGTGTGCATAGCTCCTGTTCAGGGTGGCCCCTGACATCTTCCTACTAGGAAATCCAAAAAGTGCTCATTAGGAAAAAGTAAGGTTGTGTTACTTTTGAGTAAAAACTGTTAGCAGTAGAGATCAAACCTTTATCATAAAACAAGGAGTGAATTTATTAATGAAAATAAAAACATACTGCTGTGATTTGAGTGGTCCCCTTCTAAACTCATGTTGAATATTTAAGTGTCATTGTGACAGTATAAAGAGACAATTAGGTCATGAGGGCTGGTCACCCTTATGAATAGATTAATGCCATTATCCTGATGAAAAGATAAGTTCTGCTCCAGCCTTCCTCTGTGACTCAGAATGCTCACTTGCCCTTCATCTGTGTTGTGACCTTATGATACAGCACTAAGCCCTCATTAGTGTTGGTGCCATAATTTTGAACTTGCCAACTTCCAGAATTGTGAGTTAAATAAGTATCTTTTCTTTATAAATTACTCAGTTCTTAGTATTCTGGTATATCAACAGAAAATTGACTAAGACACATAACGTTTAATTTTATAATGGAGTCATAAGAATCATAAATTACAGTTTAGAGACTCTGCATGTTTTTAAACTTAGGATGTCAACAGTTTTAACATTTTTTTTTCTGTGAAGCTATAATGGATTGAAAGTTATTTAGGTAGTTGGAGCTGATCAAATGTAATTTTGACAATACTGTTTTAGAGCAGGACCAGCAAACCTTTTCTATACAGAGCTGGATAGTCAGTTGCAAGCCATAACGTGTCTGTCACAAGTATTCACCTCTGCCATTATTGTGTGAAAGTAGTCATAGACAGTATATAAATAAGTAAATGTCACTGTGTTCTAATAGTACTTTATTTTTAAAAAGTATAGGCCAGATTGGTCATTACAGCATAGTTTGCTGGCCCCTGTTCTAATGGATTAATTCTCAAGGTGAGACTTCCTGACCTAGCAGCATCAGTACTGTGTTTGATATGGAAACTTGGGCTTCACTCAAGACCTACTGAATGAGAAACTGTGGGAAAGGGGCAGTGACCTAATAAGCTCTTCAGTGCTTTGGTGAATTTGAGAACCTCTGTTTTAGAATAAACACCAGCTAAAATTACCTCCCTCCAATAATTTTCCTCCTCTTAAAATCTTCAGGCATGATACTTTGCACATAGACAGAACATAAGTGACCAGGAAAGACACATTAGCTCACCCTATAGCCCATGGATATTTATGTGCTAGGCTTGGAGAATCAAGGGTTATTGATCTTTAATCATAAATGTGATAAAATTAGAAAAACACTAATTTAAAGGTTTAAGAAATGTAAAATGAATAGGGACCATGCCTTCTGTGATCAATTTTAAGTATTATGTATCTACTGAAAGATTTACATCTAAAGCCAGACTGTTTGAGGACTGCATTTGATTTTCAGAAAAAGCATAAAACCATTTTGTGGCTTAATAAAAACAGATTAAATTAAAAGGTGCATTACAATGGTATTGACTGCTTCAGGATTCTACAGATTCCTCACCTTATCAGACAGTACAGACACAGGGACTCCTATGATAGATTATGGCTAACTCTAGTTTATCTTTTTTGATGACATACCTTAAATGAAGGCATTATTTTTTCTCAAACTCAGAAATAAACAACCAGACTTAGCTGAAGATTGTTACAAGGTACCAAGGAACACAAGCAACCTACTGTCCTTTGATCAAATCAACAGGTATGAAGACATCTTCAGTGAGTTCAAGATGAAAGAGTGGTCAAGCATTCTAAATATTACTTTGATTACATAAAAATATTACAAAGATTATTGAAATTGAAAAATAATAACTCCACTTAAAAGAAAATACACATTTTTCAAGTTTGTTTTTGTTTTTGTTTTTTTAACTTCAAAACAAACTGAAGGTCAAGATACTTACCCAGATAAATCCATTTTCTGGAAGAACTGGCTGACGACATCCAGAGTCTACTTCTAGCTCAGGAAGATCGACCTCTTTAATTTCTTCATCATCGCTGATACACGGCTGCCCACTAAAAGGGGAAAACAACGTGTGTGTATGTTCACATATATTTAGACACTGATTACATACACGGATGCAGATTGAATGGAAAATATGACTCAGAGACAAGGGTAACAGCAGATTCAATGCTTCACTAATAAGTTGTGTTGACATAGATAAAATTCGAATGATTTCTTTACTTAGCAGCAGAATAATCAATATCCAAACAGTGTTAGTGAAGGAAATGACTCCACTTTCCTCTTTCCTTTTACCCAAGCTTACATATTTTCCATTATTGAAAATGTGCAGTCCTCCTCTTGACGCCCCTCTCCCTCGCAGCCCCTTCCTCCCTGCTGAGGAGCAGGGTTATTGCACTCTCGGGTTCTTGATCTCTTATAAGTGGGATTGCACATGCTCCAGGAAGACCAGCAGCCCCAGTTTCCATCCACTGCACCTGGAAGAAAGGAAAGCCCCCCTGTCATCATGGTGCCTCAGAGAGAATTTGCACCTTGAAGAAAGGCCAGCCTGACCTGCTTTGTGGAATATTACAGGATCCTAATAAGGATTAAAAGAAATAGTTGCTGACAGGGATCTGATACAAGGCCTGATTTTCTATTCCTGATCCCATAGGTCTTAATAAAATGGCAGATCATTTTATTAATTATGGATCATTTTCATTGTAAATGTTATGGTTTAGATATGTATGGTATCCCCCCAAAGCTCAGGTGTGAGACAATGTAAGAAGGTTTGGAGGAGAAATGACTGAGTTATAGCCTTAGCCTATAACTATTAGCCTATTCCTGGTGGGATTAACTGAAGTGGCAGGGTGTGGCTGGAGGAGATGGGAATTGCTGAGTGGCTTTGGAGTATATATTTCTATCTGATGGGCAGACTCTCACTCTCTGCTTCTTGATCACCATGATATGAACTGCTTCCTTCTGCCACACACTCCACCATGATGGTCAGCCTCATCTTGAGCCCCAGAAAATGGAGGCCTTCTGTGGACTAAGACCTCTGAAACCATGAGCCCTCAAATAAATTATTCCTCCTCTACAGTTATTTTGGTCAGATCCTTCAGCCACAGCAGCAAAAAAGCTGATGAGTAAATATATATATGCATGTATAGATACACACGTGTATATGTACAAACATGAACTTTTTCTGAATAGAATATATATCAAATTATTTTTCAAAGGTAGTAGGATATGTTCTTAATCCCATGCATTATTCTTTTTCTAGGGAGAATTTGGGGTAATTTTGAACATTACTTAGCTCTGAATGAAAACTTTGGTTGTGGCTTAATCTATCCCATATTGCAATGTCATCCTCTTATATTATGATACATTAGAGGTTTGTGATAATACTATCATATTTTTATAATTCTTTACTTCTTATTTATTTAATGTTACAGGTATTATGTTATGTATAATAAATCACAAATAAACAAATAAGTACATTTTAATGCTTGGATACATACTAGGATTATCCTCATTTGATGGATGAACAGATTATGTCATGGAGATTTTCCAGCATCACATAACTGGTAGGTTGTAGCTGAGACTAATATGAAGTCATTTGACTTTAGAGTCTTAATTTTTTTGAAGGCTTATTTTCTTTATGCATTTATAAAAGGTGGAGTTTGCTAGAAAAATTGTCTTAATTGGCCAACCTAGAATATCTTTTGGAGGGGAAAAGGTGCCTACCCCACAATCAATTACTGATACTTACTAGATTTATAATCTGGAGACCGTATCTCACAGTTCTTGCCATAGGTGCCACTCCGACACACACACAGACATTCGGTCCCTGAGAGCACGGGACGGCCATTATTAGGGCATGGAGCACACTGGCAAGGGTCAAACTTGGCTGTGTATTCTTGAAAAGCTTTCCTGAGGTTGTTCCGTTTAGTCACTGCACAGGGAATGTTTCTTACTAAGTCCGTGATGGGAGCAAGCTAGGAAGAGCCAAGAGAGAGGAGATCTAGTCACATGCCGTCCGACAATACACTGCCATCACTGTCCAGCTCTCATGGAATGAGAGGCAAGGTCTGAGAAAATCCTGACTTCAAAGGCATTGTAGTAAAATCTACAAGAGCTGCCCGTTAAGCCAGTAGAGAAAGGCCCTCTACCTGAGGGCAGGTGTGAACTACCTGAAACTCATCTTCCCTGCACTTCTACTGTGGAGGAAGTCATATGTGACACATTGCTTACTTGGACTTGCATCATGTTATTCATTAAGGATCAAAGTCCTGAGATGGTTGACCAAGGGCTATGTAGCACACAAATGCTCTGCTGAAACCTCATCAAGTTTGATTCATGCAAAAAAAATCTAGAGAGGCTGCTGAAGACTACTTTTCTTGTTCTCTGTACTGGTAAGGACAGTACTGGCTTTTGGTGGAGCCAGAAGAGAAAATGTGGAATAGGAGAAAATGAAGAGAGGAACTTGCCAGTGGGATGGATAGAAAAATTACAGTAACAAATAAGGAAGCTAACAACAATAAAAGAAAGGCAGTGCTTATTTTAATTTTATTAGCATTTTAAAATCCCAAAGAAATGTCCATTTAAGGTGCTGTATGACTAAAAAGTGCCCAGATGGGTAGCCGTGCCTCATTTTTCCACCAAAACCTTTGGAGCTCAATATGTTTTCATGCTGCATGTAAATGGCTCCATTTTCATAATAATTGAATTCCTTTATCTTCATTTAAATGAAGTAAGCATAATAGCCTCTTTGGAGGCCTTTTAAAATGTGGTTGTTAAATGCAAAACTGATTCTAAATGGAATATGACTGGTATGTGGGCAAAGTACTCCATAAATAACAAAAATCAACTTTTAATGTAATTACAGCAAATACAAAACTGGTAAATTGAATCAATGGTGATAGAAACAGGAAGTCAAATGGATCTAAAATCCCATTTATCCCACATCATTATAAATAAAGATTTATAAGTGCTCATCAAATGAAGAGTTGCCAGAAAGATATAGAAACTAAATATATTTTATGCATGGGTGAGATGAAGAGTACTACTCATGGTGAGTTTGAACAGTTTTATTCACAAAATTTCCTTTTCCAGTGTTTCATAGATGCTAGGAATTCTAAATACTGTACCAGAATTCTTGTTTGAATAGCAAAAGCACTAGATGTGCATTTTTTAAAAAAGCATATTGTGCATACATATTAAAGAAATACATTTTCCTTATCATCTGAAAAGAAAATGGAAAAAGAATTGCACAATGTAAAATTTGATTGCTAGAGAACTACTTTAGCTCTCTTACCTTCAATGCATTTTAATCTTACCTCAAAGTCAATCACAACAGGATTTTCCTTCACTGATTCCAACCACTCAGAAAATACTTTTTCCTCTGGACCTGAGGTCCCTTTCTCCCAGGCCAAAGCTGCTGAATACTTGCTCCTTCCACCTCGGACCAAAGATATGGACTTTTCTGCTCCCTGCAAAAATGAACCTACAAGGTGTTCAAGAAAATTATCCATTTAATTGTATTGAAAATTTATTCTTTAAAGAAATGTCAATTTGCACAGGACAGAGAAGTAGATGGTATAGTCAAGCATCTCCAATAAGAAAAGCTAAGTGGAAAAACAAGAGAACAATTCTCATTCCCACAGAGACTTCAATAGAGACATGATAATAACAGTGCAAACACTACCACTTACTTATTGAGCATATGGCATCTGCCAGGGACTTCCTACACATTGTGGTATATAATTCTCACAACAACTCTGAGCAGTAGACATTAGTAGCTATTAGTTTAAATGTATATATTGAAACTGAAAATAATTTGTCCTGGAACACATGTTTAGGGAGAGGCATTACTGGCATGCAAATACGACAGAGTTCTTGAGTACTTTTCCCTTTATGGTTTGATGCCAACCCTCCAGCTTTTGATTTACAGACATGGGCCCCTAAAATAACATAACCACATAGCTCTGGTATTTGATCAATTGCCTCCCACATTGGAAACTTTCAATTGCAGATACAAAATGATAGAATGCCTTTAAACTTAAACTTTAAACTTAAAAGCATTGTATGTAAAAGGAAAAAAATTAAAAAAAATACTGGAAAAGGAAATTTTGTGAATAAAACTGTTCAAACTCACCGTGAGTAGTGAGTTTGAAACAGTGTTGACACTGTTTCTTTAGAGGAACTACACAGCACAGATATTTAATACAAATTTCAAATTAATTCCCATTAACTAATGACAATTTTAACAATATGGATAGGATCTGAGTAGTAGGCAATTACAGTGAGAACAAGTATCAAATGAAAACTTCTTGTGTTCATGTCAAAATTTCAAGGAGTTATATGAAATAGTGCTTTCTTGTTAATAAGAAGACTTGGTCTAAGCATAAGTAGCCACCACTGTAGGGAAAACAACAAAAAATTCTGTTTATTTCATCTAAACTGTCTTCTGTAACCTTTTTATACATTTGCATATTTTGGGCATACTGTATTTTTAGAATAATAAATTTATACAACTCGTTAGTAAGTATACATATCCATACATGTATTAGGTGTATTACTTTAAAATAACTTTCTACAATTTTTTGGATTTGAAAAGTTTGGAGTCCAATTGCTTAAGTGAAAAAATTTAGAGCTAGAAATGGACAAATCTGTGTTGCTGTGTATGCTTTTTCCTCAATATGCTATTGATTTGGGGTAAATGACATTAACAAGAAGTTGTTGAGAAGTTGCCATATGCCAGAAGACTGAGAGAAATGTAAAATATTGACCCTCCACGAGGAGACAGCATAGGTACAGAAATACACTAGCAAAACTATAAAAGAAAAATTTAAATGAAGGATGAGGAAGGCAGGAAAAGAGGAAGGGAAGGACCATATGAGGCAATACTATTATTGTCATCAGACTACTAGAAAACTGGGTGGACCTAAAGGAACTGGAAGAGAAAATGTCCAGCACAGACTCATAGTTCTCCATTTATAGAGGGAGTTGGGAAGGGGAGGAAGGGAGAAATGGAAAGAAAAGATATAAAACATAACAAAAGAACAACAATGCAAATAGTTTTGCCAAGTATGACTGAGTCGTGTAAGCAATTCGTGATTCTGGAGTTAAGAAGGTGAAAGAATGCCCTGATTTGGGCAGTGAGGGAGGGTGGCACTCTGAAAGGGGGACTGTCGTGACCATGGGGCATAGGTAAGACTTGCTATGAAGATGGTGGGCTTCAAAGCCTGGGACACCACGGGCACATGCCAAAATCTGGTCCATGTGCTATATTCGGAAGAGAAGGCAGATGGGCATCAGTCTGAGTTAAATTTGAAGAGGAAGAATGGCAGAATTAAGAAGATCTGAATGGAAAATGAAGAAACCTGGGTTTATTCTCTAGGCTTCAAAACCACTGCATTCTCTAGAATCAATAAAAGGTTTTGTGATGGGGAAGGGAGAGGATTCGGGTACATTAGCAGTACTGTGCCCACTGGCTAGCCGTGGGAGACTGACGCACCAGTTTGAAAACTATTGTGCCTGTGCCTAATTTTGCAGTGTCCTCTCATTCCAACAAGTTGAAAACCAGGCTCCGTAGATGGTGTTTTCTCATCCCCATACCTCTCTATCAATTCAGTTTTCAAAGTAGTCCTGATTCTAGTCTAGTATTGCCTCTCATATATTTAAGTAAACTTTTCTACTGAAGTATAATTTTCACACATAAAAGCACATCATCGTAAGTATGCAACTCAATTAATTTTTTAAAAGTGAACATGCCCTCGTAGTCATTGCCCACATTAACCAAGAGCACCAGTAGCACCCTCAAAGTCTCCTTGACGGCTTCTGTCCACTGTTATTTCATTCTCAAATCCAACCCACAGCTTCACTATCCTTGTATGTTAGTTTTGCCTGTTTCTGAATTTCAAATGAAAAGGAATAAAATGTGAACTTTGTTGTGATGGTTTTTTTTCACTCAGACTTATGTTTGTGGGATTTGTCTACATTGTGTGTAGCATTCATTAATTCATATCCCTGTCCATTTTATTCTTGATATAGACACTTGAGTCATATCCAGTTTTTGATCAGATATTTGAGTTGTACCCAGTCATATATGTATTCAAACTAACATTCGAAAATGTTACTGTGCATATTTTTGTACATTACTTTTTTAGCATATTTGTCCATTTTTCTATTGGGAACAAACAGCAGTATAATTGCTAGATTATTAATACATACATTATATATACATATATTCATGTGTAGAAACAGACATAGCTATCAATAAATATTATATATATATGATATATAAAATGTTTATTGATAGCTATGTCTATATATATAAAAAATACCACTTCAATAAGCACTTCCAGTGTCCAAATAGTTTCATCAATTTAAATTTCTATCCGCAGTTTTGGTGATTGGTTCCATACTCTGTCAAAATTTGTCAATTTAAAATTTTTTACCTGAAAGGGAGGGACATGAGGAAGTACCAAGGAACAAAATCTACTAAATTATGCTATGCCTATGTACAAATATACCACTCCATATATATATATACATATATATATGTATATATATAAATTTAATGCACTACTTAATAATAATAATAATAATAATAATAATAATAGAAGGGAGATCAATAGAGTAGAGCAAGAGGTTCAGGAGGGAGGAGGGGAGAAGAGAAAGGGGAGGGACTGGTGAGTGAGACTGATAAATTTATGTTATGTGCAGGTATGAATATGCCATGCTGAATCCCACTATTATGAATAATTATAATGTACCAATAAAAACATGAAAAAATTTTAAAAATTTCAGCAAAAGCCAAAACAAAAATTAAAAATTTCACCATTTGTATGAGGTAGTATCTTATGGGATTTAAATTTACTTCAACTCCTGATATGTTCTTTTCATGTTTGCTCTTTGAATATCTTCTTTCATGACAGGCTTACTTGATATGTTTGCCTATTTCTAAATTTCTACTATTTCCCTACATTACATGACTTTACTATATGTCACCTAGACAACTGCCAAAGGATAACTTATACGAGCTCAGTATTTAGTACAAGACAGGCTTTATTCTTATCATTTTATATAGACTGTTAAGTTCTCATGAAACATACATTAAATAAATAATATTAGTTTCATTTTATATGTCAAAAACCCAAAGCAAAGCAAAGAAGGGTCTTGATGTTGGTTACATTGTTAATCAATAGTGGAGCCAAAATTTGAATTTATATAGTCTGTCTTGTAAATTTAATAGAAATGCAATGTACTTAATCCATCACAGCTAGAAATAATCTGTAAAGGAGAGTTTACTTCCATACTTAGTAAATTTTTACTGTTTTTCTACTGAATTCACCAGAGTGTTTGGCCCAATACTAAATCTAAATTTCTTGGTAAGGCCTTTTTTGGGGGGAGAGGGGGTGTGGTAACTGCATACCATATAGGCTTATTGAAAAAAGAAAATCATAGTGTTCTTCATGATTTTAAAAACTTAGAGGAGTTCTCTTTAACTGTTTTTTGCACTGGGAGTTTTCAAATTTAAAGATGCAACAACTCCCTTTTCACGCTTAACACCTATTACCGTCCTGAAGATCCTAAGTGTCAGAGTGAGAATATTTAAATAGGATTAAGTCCAAATATTTAACCAAGGCATACAGTCCTGCTTTTTTAAAAAATATTTATTTTTTACTGGTAGTTGGACACAATACCTTTATTTTACTTATTTATTTTTATGTGGTGCCGAGGATTGATCCCAGGACCTTGCATGTGCTAGGCAAGTGTTCTACCGCTGAGCCACAACCCCAGCCCCCAGTCCTGCTTAATACGGAAAAAACTGCTTTCCTTGATTTATTTCACAAATTTATGCTCTAAAAAAATAGAAATATTCACTTCTTCACTTATGTATTCAACCTTTGCCTCTCTGTGCTTCTGTTTCCTCATCTATAAGGTAATAACTGAAGCAGTCTCCTGGGGTCACTAAGAGGATGAAAAGTTCACACACACAAAGCAATTAGAGTGGAGCCTGGAACATAATAGGAACTTACTAAATGTTGATCATTCGTGCATCATTTCTTTCAATTTTTCATGTTTATAGAAATACATTGATTAATGGGAGATGAGATTGATCAAATCACGTTATGTGCACATACAAGTTTGGTATAACGAATCCCACTATTCTATATCCAACAATAAAAATAAATACATTGATTAAACATTCATATTGTGTTAGGCATGGTGGACATAAGGACTATATCACTGTCCTAAATTTGTTCACATCTTAACGAAGGAAATAGGAAGTAAACAGTGCATTGAGTGCTATGATACTGTGAATAGGGGTTGCAGTGAGATTAAACAGAAGTGTAGCTACTTTAATCATGAATAACAACAGGTGGTAATCAGAATGGCTCCTTGGACTGCCTGATAAGTTAATAATTTATAGACTTGTTTGTTTTGAAATAAATATTGCATTTTGAGCATATTAAATATTTAAGCAATTCAGAAAAACAAAATCCTCATTCCCCTTACTTAATGTTAGTTTTATCTATTAAATGACTCAGTCTCCCTTGACTCATGTTTGCCCACTGTTTCTTCACTCCTAAATTTTTTTTTTATTTATTGGATTAAAGTCTTGGTATTAACTTTTGTCTGTTTCCTTAATTTTTTTGGTCTTCAGGAATTTATTTATTTATTTTTTGTTCTTTTTTGTTACACATGACAGTAGAGTATAATTTGACATATTTATACTAACATGAAGTACATATTATTCTAATTAGGATCCCAGTCTTATTGTCAATAAGCTTTCCATGTGTTTTTAAGCTCTATCTCTGCCATTCCTCTCATAGTTAAAGCCACATGGTGGGTTTTTCAACAGTACAGCCTCAAAATAGAGAAGATTGACAGAAAAAAAAGAATAAAAAACCTTTCTTCTGAACTCTCAAGTATACTTTTGAATCTAGCAGAAATTATAGACCTGAAGGCCATGGTTTTCAAAGTCAAGAACCAGGCTGTTGAAAGAGAAAAGAATTCTTGGAATTCTTAAAACTTTAACTTAAATACCAAGAGCCAAACCTGCTAGGATTCAAACCATAGAATTTATAATACCAATCATAGAATGAAAAAATGAACAATGACATAAGAACCCCTTTCTTTCTCAAAAGGAAAAAAAAATAGATTTTTGAGTGGAAGGGAAAATGGAGAATGTTAGATGTGGTATAATGAAAATTTAGACGTGACGAAATTCTTAGCTCAGACCTGGGATTCTATTGCACTGAGCAGTCTTGGGAGATGGTAATACAAGAGAAATTTGATAGCAATGCATAGTCGTTTGTATCTAAATCTTCTCTATGAGTAGAATGAGAATGGTGACACTTGTAGAGAATATTTTATATCCCACATGGTGCCCAAGCAAATGGTCCCCTGAGTTGCTTTAAAGGCACTCACAGTTTGCTATTATGTGTTCAGGAAAGAATTAGGAGTTGCCTAAATCTTAAAGAAAATGAGGAAATCTTGAGAGAGGGTTTTAGACAAGGGGGCATGATGTTGGTTGATGTGAAGAAGATTCAAAGGGTATGGCAGGACCATTAGCATTTGTGGTGGGTGCCAGTGTCTAATGATGAGGACCAAGGTAGGCAAATAATAGATCAGCTGAGGGCAGCAAAGACAAAAGGGCTTTGTGCTAACAAAGGTTTCATTTTTCCTCTGATGCTAGGATACCCTTCCCCCAATGCATTTACAAATGTACACACATACACATGCATGCACACGTACACACACATAAACACACACACAGAATATCCCTGAGAAACATCAAAGGAGAAAGGTGAGGGAATCTTACATTTGACTGAAAATTGAAAAATGAAACACTGAATAACTGTGTTACATTACATTGGCATTTTTATATTTTTTATTACTGAGAAGAAATGGGCATTTGAGAAAGACTTTAAGTTCCACTTTATAAAAAAGCCCTATCTGAACATGTGAATTATTCCAATTGTTCTTTTTCATTTTTCTCTTTGTGACATGATTTTGAGTAGTTTTTTTTTTCAGTAAGTACTCAAGAATGTATATCACCAGAATTCTTTCATGTTTTGATAACATCTTCCTGTTATTTTTCTATATGAAGGCATTTCTTTCCCCTGTTCAGAAATCTGTGGGATTTCTCCAATAGCTTGTTACGCAGAATGTTGTTATGGAGAAATCTAGGACAACCAGGTTTTGTCATTGTTGTGTATAAAACTTGTGTTTTTCAACTGAGATACTTGTAGAATTCATTTTCTAAATCTTTGGATTTAGTAAAAAAAAAAAAAATCAGTTTTCTTTTCCCTTGAAGTTGCATACGTAAACCATATGTCTTTTCAATGTTTTTATTAGTGTCTTATAGTTATACATAATATTGGGGATTAACTCTGACATAATTATACATATAAAATTTATTCATTTATTTTGAAGACTCTTATTTTATGGTACTTGTGATTGAATCCAAGGTACTCTACTGTAGAGCTATAGGCCTTTTGTTTATTTTTTGTTTTGAAACAGGATCTTGTTAAGTTGCTGAAGCTGGCACTGAACTTCTGATCCTCCCACCTCAGCCTCCCAAGTAGGTGGGATTATCGGTGTGTGTCACCCAGGATAGATTCTTACAAAACGCTGCTATTATTGTTGTGTGCATGTTTTAATATTTTTATTTTTTTAAATTAAAAAATTTTATTGGTGCATTATAATTACACACATTAGTAGGATTTGTTACATATTTGTACATGAACTTACATGGTTTGTCATTCATTCTATTTTCATTAGATTTTCTTTAATAATAACTGATTTTTTTCTGTATTTATTGTGATTTCTTTAGATAATTCTTACATGTGTTTAACTTTATTAATTTTATATTCAGACTATTATGTTTTGTCCATTCAGTGTCTAATTTATTTATAATGATAACGGTAATGCTGCTCAATGTTTTTACCTTGACTTTGAAGTCTTCTTTTTCCTTTAATTTGCACATTTAAATTTTTATCTTTGAGCTTTTGACTTATCGAATTCATGTTCTTATTAAAATATTCTATTTCATGATAAGCTAGTAAAGAATCTGTATCCATTCTTTGATTTATATTACTAAATTACTTGTCTGTTTTGTATGTTGTTTCTTTTTGCCTTCATTTTCTTTCCTTTTTGTTTTGCTAGAATGCAAATGTAATCGTTAATACAGTTCTTCTCATTATACTTATAATCAAGCCAAATTTCTATGTATTTAGTATAATATATTTATTATTTTGGTGATAAATATTACATTTTTATTTTTCTCTCATATTCCTTATGAGAGTGTAAGTTTCAAATCTAGGAGTTTCTGTGATCCTGTTTCCTTTCCTTTGTTCTGAACAAATGAGTGGCAGTCAGGCAAAGTAAGAGAATAAGAAAATTGTGCACAGAGTAAAGAGTTATTTATAGAGGCAAGGCATAGCCCAGAGCATGACGTGTTTAGGAGATGACATAAAGTTGAGCTATGCAGAGAGATGTGCGGGCTTATCCTTGAGGCTATAAGGGACCATGACATATTTAAAGCATAAGGATTTCATGAATAAGATTTGTCTTGGAGAAAATCCCTCTCACAAAAATGTGCAGAATAGACTGCAAGAAGGGAATACTCAGAACAAGGAGACCAGTTTTAGAGACTTTTGTGATAGTCCAGGTTGGATATAATGAACGGAGTTATGTACATGGAATTAAAGAGAAGAGGACACTTTGAGAGGTATTCAGGAGACAGAACTGATTATACATGGTTACTTATTAAATATGGGGGTTAGAAAGAAGGAAAAATATCAAAGGCGATTCCCAGATTCCTGGCTTGGTTGACCTGGTGGATGGCACCACCATGCCTCAAGCCTGGGAATGTTGAAGGAGAGGGGAAAAGAGGTAGGCACACTTTGCTGGTTCCTATGCTAGTCGTACTGTTAAGTCTTCACAATAATCCCTATAGGCTGTGAAACTAAGGCAACACTAGATAGTGATGAGAACAGCTTGAGAAGGGAAAGAACACACTGATGTTCATGTAGATTTGCTTGGTAAACAGCTGGTGTCTGGAGCTCAGAAGAGAAATCTGGGTTGGGGATTAGGATGTAAGAGGGCAGTAGCCAAAACACTGGGAAAGAGGAAGATCATTCTGCAAAACCTGACTAGTGTCTTTTTTCTTTGAAAGGTTGGCCTGGATTTTCTTTCTCTTCCTTTTCATTTGCCAAAGTCAACTTCTGCCTTCAATGCATGGCTCCCAAATAGTTCTTGTCACAAGACCATCTGCCCATCTTTTTCAGCCCAATGTACTTTCATAGCCTTTAAAAAAATACCTTTTCTAAACATTTATCAGTCTATTTTTAATGGTTATTTATATATATCCTTACTCTGTAAGTTTCTTAATAAGAATGTCCAGATCTTACTCCTTCGCCTTACAAAGCTTCATACTGAATTCTACCCATGGGGATACTTAGAAATTGTTCATTAAATTAAACAGCTTTAGCCAGGCGCAATCCCAGCAGCTCAGGAGGCTGAGGCAAGAGGAGTGTGAGTTCAAAACCAGTCTCAGCAACTTAGTGAGGCCCTTAGCAACTCAGTGAGACCCTGTCTCTAAATAAAATACAAAATAGGACTGGGATGTGACTCAGTGGTCAAGTGTCACTTGAGTTCAATCTCCGGTAGCCTCTCCACCCAAATTTAACAGCTTAAGAATTAGATAAAGAAAACTTTAGCCACTACTTGAAAATATTTTAAGTAGTGCTAACGTTATTCTATTTGCACCTTTCCCCTGTCACACACAGGGCTGTGAGGCAGGTGAATGAAATGTTAAATGTTAAAGATAGCACAGTCATATGCAATATGCTACTTAAGTTACAGGCAGTCCCAGGACACACTGGACAAGTGGCTAAGAAAGGACCATTACCTTCATATCTTTCTGACAGCTTGTTAGTAGTACATTTCTTCTCTACTTTTGTTTTCTTAACAAAAAGAATACGCTTCTTCTTTTCAATATAGATACAGTTTCGGATTTCTTCCTCTGTTAACCCTAGAAAATGGAATACAAACAAAACCCACTTAGACTGTGCCATTGAGGATTCAGAGGAGGAACATGAAACTCTGGTCCCTTTTGGAGCGAGACACTCTAAGCCTCTGTCCTTAATTCCAGTAGACAGTGTTTTACACTGATTCAGATTTGCATAGGACCAGAGATGATGAACAGAAAGCGTGTCTTTGAGTTCCTGCATCTCTTGCTGCAACACTGACCTTAGGAAGCATCTATGAGAACACTGTAGCCCACCCCATAGGTTTGTGTTAGCTTCTCCCTGTTTCCATTCACTGTTGCCCAGGACCTTAAAGCCTATCTTTTCTTCTGCACATGGCCATTGAGTAGCCCTGAAAATCAAGAGATTTAGACATGCTCTGTTCTGAACCCCACTATAAGGCCTGCTTTCTGGGTCACAGCTGATTCCATGAGACCTAAGCGTATTTCACCTGTACATGACCTAAAATGTAAATGCCGAACATCTCTCCTTCCCTGAACACGCATTTCCATCTTCTATGCGTCCTCTCCAGGACTCAGCTTTTCACTCTTTCCTACCTCCCAACATTTCTTGTTTTAATCTCAGAAATTCTGACTCCCTGAACTATGAACTCTTCATCTCCTCCCTGGCTCTCCTGAATTCAAGCCTGTATTCCATCCTGTTTCCCTGCTGTCTCTGCGGGAGATCGACACTGCCTTATTTCCACCCCTTTCGTTGTGGGATCTGGGATTGACAACTCCCTAGTTTCTTAAAGTTGCTTTTACTGGATGACTTTTTACAGTCTTATAAGTCTTGTAAAATCCTTGATGCTCTAAGGCTTGGGTTATATGGAGCCTTTAATTCTCATTGTTTTTGTCCTTTTCCAAACTCCCAGTCCTCATCCATTGAATATTTTGCCATCTGAATCACTCCCACTGCAATGTCTGTGGTCATTCTCAGTGACCTCAATACCACGTATGAGTAGAATACAGTGCAAGGAAACAGATTGAGCACATTTATACACCTAGTGGTTCCCACCTCTCTGGGCTAATTTGAAGGGAATCCATGATTGAGTTCCTGCATCTCCTGCTGCAACACTGACCTTAGGAAGCATCTATGAGAACACTGTAGCCCACCCCATAGGGCTGTGTTAGCTTCTCCCTGTTTCTATTCACCGTTGCCCAGGACCTTAAAGCCTGTCTTTTTCTTAAAACAGCTCTCCAATCTTCCTGACTCACTGCCAGAAATATCAAAATTAGAATCCAGGTTTTTTATTTAGTTGAAAGTTGCCTTACAAAAAACAAGTTCATGAGAGTTATCACTGTTACTATCAGATTTTAAGCACCTTAAAGCAACATATTTTTTTTTCAAATACTGATATTTAGGGTTGTAGGTTATAATTAACAGGGAAGAGCACTTTTAAAGATTGAGGCACCAGCTGGGCATGAGGGGGCATGCAAACCTGAAGGCACAGATCTCTGAGAAATAAGGCTGGGTATTGTGAATTAGATCTGCTTTCTTCACAGGTCTTTTCTTTTTTGACAGTTTGACATATTTGAAGAGATGTGTTACTAGTTGGGAGTAAAAAATTATTAGCTTGGAGCCCTCGTGTTTACCTGGCCTGTTCAATGCTAGCAAAAAAGATGACTATTTGAAGCTGGCTAAATAAATACAGTTCCCTTTTCTTGGTGGTAGCACTGTTTTATAAGCGGATCAGCAAAATCCTTGGGACACGCTAGGAATTTAGTTTCATAACACACAGTTCCTTTCTTTAGGTTTTTATCAATAAATTTCTGCACAAGCTTTTTCTTCCCCATCATATGTCCTGTCATTGCTGCCTGGTTTCTATCTACTAATTAACCAAGGAGCTTCCAATATCCAAATTTCACACCTAAGTGTCCCCCTGCTGCAACACAGGGATCAGTATTTCTATCAGGTCCTCAGGTACTTTAAGTCAACAGTGTTAGTCAAAATATCATCCTAATACATAGTAGTGTGAATACCTTTTCACCTCAAATTCAGAGCAGAAGATGACTTCCCAACAAAAGTTTTAAATTACCATTTTGTATGATACTTTAATTGCTTCATGTTTTCACTGTGTTTCTGAAATTCTTTTCACCTTGCACACTGAAGAAATGTCAACTTTTATTCAAGGTTTTAACATGACTAGGGGACACTGAATAATAGAGGAATAAATCAAGGAATGAAAACAAAAAGCAATTTTATTTTATTTCATTCAAGTTTCAAGTAACTTTCTCAAAGGCAAAGGGTGTAATGCTCATCGAATATAGTATAACAGAAACTAATTCTATACTCTACTTTCATATTATGTCTAGGTAAAGGGTGAAGAAATAGGAAGAGAGAAAAGAGAGAAGACCAGAATGTATGTTGCAGAAGCAGGCAAGCCTACCCATTGTCTAATTCCATTTTATGGAGCTTTGTTTCTATTTGAATGTGCTTCATTTTAACTACAATTAAAATTGCACAGCCATATTATTATTGTGACTTAGAAACATCTATGTACGTATAGGTATGTCTATTTACTGTACATAAGAATATTCAGAATCTAAGAATATTGAATACAACGTTGTAAAGTATATTAAATACATACACATATATATTCTGTTCATATGCACACTATAAGTAATATATATATACTGTGAATTTATGTATAGCATGTGTCTATGTATATCTGATGTGTACATGGGTGTATAAATATGTATGAGCATTAATTTCATTGGCTCAATGCACCTCAAACTCTTTCTTTCCTTCATCATGTATATCTAATAGTCAATCTCTATTTACAGAGAAAGAGAGGGAAGGTGAGAGTGTTTTAGCTGTAAAGTTTAGCCTATCAGTCTTCATCTATTGAAACATTAGGTGGTTGATTAGAGATCTACACAGTTCTTTAACTGACCTGATCTCTAAGCTTTTAAAGGCTTTGCTTTGAATTTGTGAGTATACTCATCAAATAGGAAATTATTGTCTGGGCTCCACAGCATCTAAAAGGAGCTAGGATTTGCCCCAGCCTTTTTTTTTTTTTTGCTCAGGATTAGCATTGATACTATAGCAGTGGCTGAAGACATCAAATTCATTATGTAAGCTTGGCTACAGTAGAATGAATAAAGAAACGGAACTCGAGGGGCAGACAGTATAATAGTTAAATAAAATAATATTATAATAATAATATAATAGTTAAATAAACTTAGCATAAATAGTATGGATTTTAGTAAACATGTCAGATAAAAATTTATTAAAACCTTCTTATTAAAAATCCTTCTGAAAGATATTTTCCCCAGTATTTTTCTTAGGAAATAGATTATGAAGTACCTTAAGATTTGGAGGGACTCAGGAAAGCCATATTAAACATTAGTAGTTGCCACAATGAGATATCAGAACAGAGGGACTAAAATTGTATTGACTCAAGGGCTAGCCTGTTACTGTACTTTAAAATAAATTTCTGGTTTCTTTTGATAAAAGTTTAATGATGAATAATTTTGATTTATTTAGGGGAATTGATGAGTTCAGTTCTGGTTATCAAAGTTTCCCAATTTTATCTTTTTTTTTTAAGAAAACCATTTTTTCTTTAGTTGTCAGTGGACTTTTTTTTTTTTAATTTTTATATGAGGTACATGACAATTGAACCTAGTGCCTCACACATGCTAGGCAAGCACTCCACCACTGAGCCACGATCCCAGGCCCCAGTTTTGTTCTTAAGAGAAACATGATAGTCATCACAAGGATCCTTGGTCATTTCACACAAGAGCTAGAAAAAAAAATAATAATCCAAAGGAACTTAAACTATAATGATAATTAATATTGACAATTTCAGATAATATTTAAGAAAGAGGTTTACGTTGTTAATTTATATGCAAGCACAAAAATGTCTGCTCCAAACCTCAAGACATGAAGTTGTAACCTTTCCTCAAATAAAATAACTTCAAATTTGGTTTCATGTTCTATCACTAGTAGTATGTACGGGCCTGTAGTAACTCAGTCCCTTTTCAGTTTCCTTATTGTTCTTCCACTTTATGCCCTTGACTTTTACTTAAAATCATTAAAAGTAAATGATTGCTATTGAATTTGCTATAAATGTTGCTCTATGTAATTATCTGCAATAAAAATGCTATAAGTAAATTATCTTCAGAATGGAGTTCCAGGACAACCTTTGTTTTCCTTGTGGTATTGGAAAACCTCTCTCTTTTATGTATCTTCTGCTGTGTAGCTTATGATGCTTTGAGATGTCAGGAAATTCAGAGACAAATACAATGCCCAATCGCAGAGACTAGGCATACTTATTTTTTAGTACAATTCTCTATTTTTAATTTATCTGAGTATGAACTTTTTATTGTTCTTCATACCATTCTGGAAATAAAGCAGGTCTAAATAAAGTCAAAGAAGAATTATTCAAATAGCAGAGTAGGAGAAAAAAATGTATTGCATGCCATCCTACCACTTTAAAAAGGGGAGGGGGCGGCTGAGGGAAACATACCTGAGTTCTTCAGCTCTTCACGGCTAAACTGGTAGAGAAGGTCATACACACCTCCCAGGGAGCCAGAGGTGAAGTAGTGTGTACCAAAGTTCTCAAATATCTGGCTGTATAGAGCAGAGTTGTATTCTAAAGGCAGATGGTTAAGGGCTTTCAAAAAGACGTCAGAAAGCTGCAGATCCTCTGCTTTCATTGTGAAGTTTAAGACCTTTATCACTTTATGGATCCTAACGAAACTAGAATCCTAAATGAAATTAAAAAAAAAAGTTAAGAAATAAAAATAAAAAGGAAGATCAAAGGTAATGAAAGCTTTCAAGTGCCATTAATTTATCATTAAGCTTGTTTCCTTCCACAGTATGAGAACAATTTTAACTCTATTGCATATTCTCTCATACACAATTATAATTTTCATTTTATGTTCCAGTACCTTTTCCTGAGATGTTCAGAGCACTAAACAGATGAGATTATCTCAATAATGGGAACTGTGTGACTGAGGCCTATGTTCTGTACCAAAAAAGAAATGATCAATCTTTCTCTCTTGATTGCCCACCATGGCTGCATCCCCTCTGAGTTTTTATTTAGAATGCCTTACTAATGCAAACCACTGAAAAATGATTGTGTAAAGATTCAAGTGGAGTTTGGCAACTGTGTAGCTTCGTCACTAACTGGAAAAAGCATTTAAATTTTCTAAACTTTTGTTGTCCAGTGACAAGATGAGGGCAGTGCCCCAAGGAATACTTTACACTTCCTTTCAGTGACAAAATGCTGTGATTCCAAATGATTTAGGGATGAATTTGAAACAAAATTTTTTTATATTCTTTCTCCTTTACCCACAGGCAAAAATAGATGTGGATTTTTGTTTGTTTCATCATTTCTTTTTATGTTAGGTTAATTAGGATTAGATGGTTGTTATAACGCTTAAAATCTCATTTCTTGCCAGGTACAGTGGGGCACGCTTGTAATCCTGGGGACTCCTGACTCCTGAGGACTCCAGGAGGATTACAATTTAGAAACCAGCCTCAGCCATGTAGCAAGTTCCCAAAGCAACTTAGCCTCACCTTGTCTCAAAATAAATAAAAAGAACTGGGGATGTGGCTCAGTGGTTAAGCGCTCCTAGGTTCAATCCCTGGTAATTAATAAATAAATAAATAAATAAATAAATAAATAAAATCTCTTTTCTTTATATTGTCCTAAATGGCCACTGAGGCCTATGAGAATATTCACATATACTAGTTTATTAAAAAAAAATAGATACTTTATTTGGTCTTTCAATTATAACACATTGTAATGTTTGAATAATAGTAACAGAATGAATGACCATATTTTAACAAAAGAACTGTAACTGGTAATTATTAAGCAGCCATCCATCTTTCTGTATACTATAATTATGGCACCAAATGACTGCTAAAGCAAAAGAAAGAAAATCACAAGGATCAAAAGACTCAGGGTTCATCTTCCTCTCTTTGCTTTTTCCTTTCTCCTTCTTACCTTTTTGCCTTCCATTAATTTATTTTTCAGCCATCAAATACTATGGATGTAGAAGGCACAAGGTAACCAAAGATTGTGCCCTTGTGGAGCTCACATTTTAGTAAGTACCCATTAATTCTATTTTTAACTTTAACACTTGAATTTTGTGATAGAAGTTTTCGACAGTTAGAGGGGCTTTTGCTTTTAGAGAGAAGTATATAATCTCCCTGGGTATCTGAAATGCCTGTTATGGGAGGTTCAATATTTCCATTTTTTTAAAAAAATGGAATGATAGAAAATACAAATTAAACTCAGCACAAGCACAGGCATACTATTCTTCTCACCAATATGGGATAGCTGGAACTGGCTATTTTAGACTAAAGAATACTATTATGGTAGTTTGTTAAAAACATGCATTTAATCATTTGTGAGATCTTACTGCATTTTAGTCATATCTATGTAGTTTCAATTTTGTAAATCAGAAAAGCCCTGGATCTTACAGAGCTGATTGTTATTTTTTTTAATAGATTCTTTGCTCACCTCCCCCCCCTAAATAGTCATTGGTTTCATCCAATAAAATAAAGCATGAAGATCAAATGAAGGGCTTGGATTAAATTTCAAGTGTGTGGCATGCTGATTTCACTGCTTGAAGATGGAGAGGAGTTGCAGTAGCATTTTCATCTAGACTAAGATTTCCTTATTCTATTCAGATCTAATTGAAGATAGCAGTCATGATTTTGGATGACAATTTTGTAAGACAAAATTGTTGAATGACAGTAGTTTCATATGTTCTGACTTGATACTGCAAATGACCCTGCATGTTTCTGCTTGGGAGAAAATTCTTAGGGATCAAAAAATGCCTGTTTATCTACAAATGAGGGTTTTACACCTGTTCTTTAGAATGTTTAAAACATTTATAAACCAACTCGGTGAAAATGTCTTCATGTCAGGACTGATACCTACATCTGTGTCTCTTTAGCATCTCCATTTCCCTCCCATTTTTTGGGATCTACTTGTAGGTAGTTACTTTGAGTCCCGAATGCTATATTAGAGATTTTAAAAAAGACAAAGGACCAGACATGTGCAGCCTCAGATATTCCAAATCAGTAGATTCAAAGAAGCTCATAGAGATGTGTATTTCCACTTCCTGGTGATACTGGCACTCACTTGTCTTACTAATAAGTTTAGCTAAATTTGGAGGAAGTATATAAACCGCAGTCCATTTGAAACTAAAGGAACAATATGTTATTAATGGAATCTATTTTATTCTCATTTTCTACATGCCTATCACCAGGGCTGTATTCTTCCCACAGTTTGTTAAAATTAAGAATAAATAAATGAATGATTATCAAATATATTGAAATGTAATGTAATGTATAAGAACCATGGATAAAAGTCAGGATAACTGAGTTCAGTTCCCAACTCTGACATTTACTGACTGCCCAGATCACTGAAAGTCACTTAGCTTCTTTTTGGGGGTGGTGCTTTTGCTAGGGATTGAACCCAGGGCGTCACACATGTTAAACATACATTCTACCACTGAGCTACACCCCTAGGCACACAGCATCTTTACTGAAGTGCACTGTCTTCCACAGGTAGGTATTTAATAAGTGTTTATTGAATTAAAAATAAATACATATACTTCAACTTATTCTTCTACCGAAATGTAATATGATATCTATTCTGATTACCTCTTAGGGTTTCTTTGAAGATAAATGGAATGCTTAGGAAAATTATCTGTGAGGTGATATAAGGTCCCATTTTGATATAAGTAGATAAATGTGTCAACGATAAAGTATGAGGGACTCTATGGTAAAGGCAGCAGGAGCCACACAATGGTCCCTCCAGTTGCTGGTCTCATTGGCTCCAGTGTTAGTACCTGTCCTTTTCCCTCCTCACTGCCAGGTTCTACAATTCAGAGCTCACTCTCCTAATTCATCTCTTGGGAAAAAATAAATGCTACTCAGAATGGTGGTTGTAGTGGAGAATGACACTATTTTAAAAGACCTTCGCAAATGTATGAAAATTCCTATCAGAAACCTGTTTCCTATAAAATTTAAGAGTTGCAGGATATACTTCAGAGATTTCACATGCCACAATGGAGAAAGTGAAATAGATGAAGAAAGATTAACAAAGATTTCCTTATACATTGAAAGTATTTTGTAAAAAGCTTTTGGCAAGGAAAATAGGAAAAATCTAATACATAGTCATACCCTAAATGCTAAGTGTAAAAAATAAATTCCCATAAATTTCCAGACAGTGAAAATAACAACAAAAAATCAGCTTTTCATATTATTTTCCTACACAACAATGGAAATCAGAAGACCATGGAATATCATCTACTGTCAAGAGAAGAGGACTATGATGCAAACAGGATATTCTTTATCTTCATTGCTCAGGGAAAAGGCAAATAATTTTAGATATATAAGGACTTAGGAAATAAACCTCATATGCATCCTATTTGAGGAAAACACTAAAAAAATCTCAGGAAAGAGAAGATGAGAGTAAAGGAAATGGTGGCACATACATAAAGATACATATATTATATATTACACAAATATAAAATATAGATTATTGTTAGGCACATTACATTATATGAGAAATCTTTATAAAAGAACCAGAATAAAACACAAACTAATACACATAATATTTTTAAAAATACAAAACAATCTCTAGGAACAGCTTAGAATGTGTAGGTTTTTAACTACTTCAATAAAGCTATGGTATTGGAAGCCTATGAATAAGAAAGCAAATGTACCCTCAAGAAAAGAGTTAGGGGGCTGGGGTTGTGGCTTAGCAGTAGAGCCCTTGCCTAGCACATGCTAGGTGCTGGGTTATGTCCTAGGCACCGCATAAAAAAATAAGTAAATAATATAGTAAAAACATACTTAAAAAAAAAAAGAGTGGGGTCAGTACCCTAGAACTTAAAAGTACAGTAGAAGTTCTAAAATGACCAAAAAGACAAATGGGAATAGATAAAAATGTGAAAAAACAGAAAAAGTAAGAAAACTAAAATATATACACTGTGTTCAAACACAGTGAGATGAAAAAAAAATTAAAAATGGAAAGAGTATGATCAAATGTTTCAGTGAGTACACTAATGTAACTTGGCTGTATTTCCCTAATAAAGGCTTGAGATTTTTATGTTCCACAAAAAGACAAGGTTTTCTTACATGTGATTTATAAGAGAAACACATCTATAATGACATAATGAAGAAAATAGAAAACAAAAACACAATCAAATGTTAAAAGGAAGCATTCATCTATCTATCTATCATCTATCTATCATAGATAGATAGATATATCTTCTGTAACTTTTAAAGTGGTATTTACAAAGCAAAACAAAAAGGACATCTATTGAGATGTGTGTTAGAAATTCAACTGTTAGGATATAAAAACTCTCCCCTTTTTGCACCTGATTGCTTTCATTGGTGTTAATTTTTCAAGAAAGAATGAACAGATAAGAAAAGATTTTTATTACCTTTGTTTTGGAGGCCTGAATGGCTTGTTTGAAGCCTGAGTTATGTTGGACATTTTTACTTTTTTGTGAGGAATAAAAAATTGGTACGTAAAAAGAATTCTCCTTTGCCCCTGATGATGAGGCTTGTCGTTTTTCATTTTTTTCAAAATCAATTAAATCCCTGTGGAAATCGGTCTTCAGATCATCTTCTTCAGTTTGTACCTGAGAAATGATCCATATGAAGTAAAGTATAACATGGGAAATGTTAAAGCTGCTTGTGAATATCAAATGCAATGATCACTCATTCATTTGTGCATTCAGCGTGCATTCATTGAAGACTCATAGTCAGAGGACAAGGAATAATGTTAGTGCTTACATTCAGGGAGTTAATCGGGGAGTCAGGGAGAGTGATAACCACAAACACTTAATGCAATGTGGTATGTGTTGTGCTGCCAATCAGATTCCACGGATAAATACAAGATCTAGAGGAGCGATATTTCCTGAAACGGTGCCTAAACTGGGACTTCATGATAAACAATGAAGGCTAGTTTTAGTCTGTGCCTTTGATTCAGTGTTCAGTGTAACTTAAAGCATCTTTCAGAAAAATAATAACTAGCAAAAGTGGGGAGAGATTCTGTCTGATCCTGCTTTCATTCTATCTGTGTGCTCTTTGCTTTATTGAGATCTTGAACTTCAGTACTCTACTGGCCATGTTTCTGAAATGGAAGACTATTGATCAATTGGTTCTGCATGGTGAGTGATTAATAGTATTACTTGGTTTGAAGAAGGAGTAAGAGGAAAAAAATACCTGGTGGGACCCACTTGAGCTAAGGGTAGAAAAGTGAATTTCTCAAGAAGTAAAACTATTATGATTATGCAGGTATGAAGAGATAATAGATGAATTTCTAAAATTTCAAAATTGAAGAGTACTTCTTAATGTTAAATATACCTGTTTGATTTGCAAAGGAAAAAATCTTGTTTTGAAATACTTAATATTAAGTAAGAGGCACTGAGAGATAAATCACTTGTCACCATTAAATAACTTGCAAAATTAGTTAAGACAAAATAACGCAGCTTCAAAAGAGTATAGTTAACAGTAAAATATAGTCAAGAGTTCAGTGTGACTTTCAGATATTGTAGTGTATGCTAGTTCACATTTAAAGTGTTCACAAAGTAAAGCTCTTAGTTAATAACAAAGAAATGAAATTATTTTATTTAAATATATCATTGCTTACATTTTCTTAATATCTCTATAAAAAACTCAGATTACAAATATTTGGTTTTACAAATTGCTCTCAAGAAGAAAATATATGACACACCAAAGAAAAAGATGTTAGTGTGTCAACAGGGAGCACTGGGCATCTTGAACAAAAACTCAGAGAAAATCTGACTGTATGTATTATGGTGGGGCAGGAGGGACTACACATGAGCAGTAGTGAAAAATTAGACTGGGACATTGGAGCCAGGTTTTGTATGCCCTCCAAAAGTATTTGGATTTTATTCTAAAGGCAAGAATTTGTATATTATAATATTATGAGTTCTTAATAAATATGAAGTAAATGAGTGAAATATTCAGAGTGCCCATCTTTTGCAAAGATTGTATTGCAAAGATATTGAGGAAGAAAATTAACAGAAGTCATTGATCAAACAGATGTGGGGAAGAGAAGAAGGAACAGACAGTGTAGATGATGGGTATGCTACTTTGTAAAGGGAATAGAGAAATCCAGGGCCACTTTTGAAAGGAGGTGCAAGAAATAACAGGTAGGTACATTTAAAAAAATGTTGTATTTTGAAAGTGAGCTTATGAGCTGGTTGTTTAGGAACTAGAAAGATTCTTCCAGTAGAGTAACATTATATATAAATGTTTACCTTTTATCTCTGTCTGCAAATCCTGTTGAATATAATGCATCTTAGTAGTAGTATCATTCGTCTTCCCAGAGGTATTTAAATATGACAGTAGAGCCCCACACCTTCCCAAAATTCATTTATGTATATTAGACGATTTTAAATTGAGTGCATCAAGTTTAAAAATGCCTGTATTTACATGTATAAGAAGGTCTCTTTAAAGGAAGGGTTGAATGACTGCGTGGTGAACGCAAACTGTCAAAAAACTATAGTTGGATCTTTTGAAACTTTCTCCATTATGTCACATTTATATGCATGGATTTCACAATTAAAATCATGTATTTTCTGTTTCACTTAACACAAGTTAAGTAGTTTTCTCGCCTTAGCATAACAAGTATGGAGCATTTACATGTGAAGCACTGGGGTAGATTCTGAGAACAGGCAGTTGCTACAGGCAGTAGCTCATTGCTACTTTGAAAAACAAGCAAAAACAACCAAACCAACTAATACAATAGAAAGGAAGGCAAGCAGAATTAGTTTATCATACTTGGATTACTCCTGATTTTTCTTGGGTTCCCAACACTTTCTTATGTCTAAATGTCATTGTTATAGAAGAAAACTAGATATGATATGAGAAAATTTGGAATAAATTGAGCCTTTTATCTATGTGAGATATGCTAGAGGTCTATGTTTACTGGAGAAAAGATGAATTTTAATCAGGGAAACCTGGACTTGGCCCTCTAATCCACTTCTTTCTATAGTTTATTTAAATTTAGATGTCTTAGATTTTTTTCATCTGTAAATTTACCATAACACTAACCTCATTGGGTTATGGAACAATTAAATACACACACATAATAGGTAATTTAAAATTGTTCACTACCTTTCTATTCTGTTCATTTCTCACTAATTTTCCATTATAATTTTAGTTTGTAATCCTGGTGGTGGAGCTGCCACCATGATAGACTAGCACACCTTAAAGTTGACACTTTCCAGATTGGCCGGAACACGGTATGGATTACTTGCTCTACTGCTTTTGACAGTCTTACATATTCCTCCAGTGAAAGAGTTATCAAGGACTTCTCCTCTGGGCTCTCCTGCCAGAAAGTGAAACCTAGAAACAAAGTAATTTTCAAAAATTCAATAGATGTAAACCAATCTTTAAAATTTACCTTACTTATATGAAAGAAATTTCTTTTCCTGGACAATTTTGACTCATGACAAATGACTGGAAGAAAAACCCATTTTTTTTTTTTTCTAATCCATGGTGAAGCATCCAAAGAGGAATAAAAGCCCAAACTCTGTCCCATGACTCAATAAAATTCTCTTTTTTTCTAGATTTTCAATATAAAATAAAAATTGAATTCATAATTTTTTATGCCTTAAAAAGCCAATGCAAATTTTGTAATCAGATTATAAAATAATGAGTATCATCTGGGACCACTCCATTCAGTATACTACAATAAAGGAATTCTTATAGAGAGGTAGTAATGAGATAGTAATATCAACATGGTAATGAAATTAGAATAAATTATTATTCTTATCCATTGCTCATTATAATATTTAAGATTTATTTGACAAATGCTTATAGTAATTGCTTTGCAAATATTAACTCATTTGATATGTATTATAACCATATGATATACATATACATATAGGATTATTACAATCATTTTACAGATGAAGAATTGAGGCACAAGGAGGTTAATTAACTCAGCACAAATTTAAGAAGTTTAACTCAATCACACATTTAAGAAGTTCTTTTTGATGGATGAAAAACTTCTTCAAGATGCTACTATTTTTTCAGATTCATAGAGATTGTAAAATGCATTCTGTAAAATAAATAGTTTTTGTCAAAAAGTTTAGTAAATGTATTATGTAGTGATAAATATATCTTCTGTCATGCCAAAGCCTTTAAAAATATGAATTTTCTGTTTTCAAATACATTTGATGAGATAACCTTGTATTCCATAGAGCATATAACATAGTTAGAGAATACCTTTGGGAAATTCCGTGTAGCAGAGGAATATCCCTCCCGGCCTCCCTCCTTCATGATCCATAGGTACACCTGTCTGTTCTGGTGGTGGTGGGGTACTTGAGAGGACTCAAGAAGGTCATCTACCACCTACATGTCTATTTATTTTGTACATCTATAATATTAGCTCAAAAGGCAAAATGAACTGAACAGATTTCACCCCTCTCAGAGGCTGCAATATTATCTCCCATAACTACCTTACAGAGGTGAGAAAAGACAGACTCACCTGGTTGGGAAGACATCAAGAAGTTAGGTCACTAGATGAGACTCTTGTGATCTTTTATTACACATTTGGATTTAAAGTAAAAAATCCAATCAATTATTTAGACACTTAATCTAATCAACTAACAGCACCATTCTACCCAAGAAATGCAGGGATAATTTTTGAAGTTGTAAATTAATGTTAAAAATAAATTATTGGCTGATAAAAGTGCTTGTGAATTCTCAACTAATATAATTACACTGCTGTAAACACACACACACACACACACAAAGAATTTAAAGTTCTTAAAATGAAAACTACAATGAGATATCATTTTAATCTAGTTCTAATGTCGATTATAAAAAAAGACAAAAATAACAAATGCTAGCAAGGCTATAGAGAAAGGAGAACTCATATATGTTGTTTGTGGGAATGTACGTTAGCACAACCATTATGAAAAACAATATGGAGCTTCCTGAAAAAACTAGAAATAGAACTATCACATCATAAATCAATCCCATTGTGGAGTATATATTGAAAGGAATTGAAATAGTGTGTCAAAGAAATACTGCAGTCACATGTTTATTGGAGTCCCATTCATAATAGCAAATATATAGAATCAACTCATGTGTCTACTGACAGATGAATGAACAAAGAAAATATGGTACATTTGCACAAGGGAATATTATTCAGCCACAAGAGTAAAATTCTGTCATTTGCAGAAACATGGGCAGAACTGAAGGCTATCATGTTAAGCAAAATAAGCAGGCACAGAAAGGCAAATGCCATGTGTTCTAATTTGTATGGGATGCTAAAGTTGATGTCAAAGAAGGAGAAACTAGAACAGCTGTCACCAGAGCCTAGGAGGACAGAGGGATGGAGAAAGGATGGTTAATGAGTCCAGGAGTATGGTGGTATAGAAGAAATGGCTTTTAATGTTCTGTAGCACAATATGGTAACTATGGTTAGCAACAATTAATTGAATATTTCAAAATACTAGAGAAGATTTTGAGTATTCCTAGCCTAAAAAATTGTTATATGTCTGAGATGATAGACAGGCCAATTACCCAGATCTGATTAATACACAGTGTATGTGTATACTGAAATTCCACAATACACATCACAAATTGAATTACTATTCAAAATATTGAATATTAAAAAATCAAATATATTTCTATATAATAGTGATGAACATGTCAATAATAAAATTAAGAAAAAATTCTATTTATAATAGTATCTAAAAGAAATAAAATCCTAGGGATGTATTTTTAAAATGTAGCCTAAACCTATATACTTAAAAGTATGAAAAACTGTTGAAAGATACTAAATAGGATTTCAATAAATAAAAAGACATTGCATATTCACGGGATAAAAGATTTTAGTTAAAATGGAAGTTCTTCCCATATTGACCTACAGATTCAAAATATTACCTATCAAAATCCAAATTGCCTTTATTTTCTAAAAATTGATACGCTAATCTTAAAATTCAACTGAAAATAAAAGAGATCCAGGATAGCCAAAACAATTTTGAGAAAGAAGGACAAATTTTGAGGAAACACATTTCCTGGTAGAAAGATTGCTTTAAAGCCAGAGTAATCATGAGAGTGTGGTACTAGAGTAAGGACAGACATATTAATCAATAGGGAAGATTAAGAGTCCAGAAATAAATCCACGTCTTTAGTCAGTTGATTTTCAACAAGAGTGCCAAGAAAACTTGATGAGGCAAAACTGATTTTTAACAAAGCGTGGTGGGACAGCTTGAAAGTCATATCAAGTCATAAATGACGTGATATGGAAAATTCATTCAAACTAGATCAGAAACTTAAATTTTAGAGTTAAAACTACAGAATTCTTAGAAGTAAACATAGGATTAAATCTTTGTGAACTTAGACTGAAGAAGGCCTTCTCAGATATGACACCAAATGCACATACAACAAAAGAAGAAATTAATATATTGAACTTTATCAGAATTGAACAATTTTGTGATTCAAAGACACCTTTAAGAAAGTGAAAAGACAACTCAAAGTGGGAGAAAGTATTTGTAAATCATATGTCTGCTGAGTATCTTGTATTCAAAATAGATAAAATCTCTTAAAAACCAATAATAAAAAATCAAATTATTCAGTTAAAAATTGGGTAAGGGATCAGAAAACTAAATATTTCTTTAAAGAAGACATGTAAATTGCCAAAGAGTACATGAAAAGATGCTCAATGTTATTAGTTATTCAAGAAATACAAATCAAAACCACAATGTGAGGTAGCATTTCACAGCATTTTGATTACATGGCTGTGATCAAAAAGATGGGTGAAAACAAACTGTGGTGGAGATTTGGAGAAATAGGTTTCAATCAAGCATAACTAGTGTGAATGTAAAATGATGCAACCATTTTGGAAAACAGGTGCAGAGGGTTTTTTTAGGGGCACGTGTGTGTGGAGGAATACAGGTATGAAAATATTCTAAAATAATATTGTGATAGTTACATATGTCTTTGATTACACTAAGCACTATTGAATTTTATACTTTAAATGGCTGAATTGTATAATATGTGCATTATAAATTACATTTTTTTTTTTACAAAAAAGAACGATTCTTGTGTGTTCTCCAAGATGCACCTCACAATTCAGGAACTGCAAGCACAAGATGAGATGTGCTTTCATTCATATTTGAATTTCTATCACTGGGTGTTTGAAGGAGAAAGTATGAGAAATTGATCTGGGAAGAACTTTCCAAACTGCTTATATTCACATGACAGACACAAGTGTGCTTGAGACTCATTTTTTGCATTTTCTAAGTTAAGAGGAATTGATGTGGAAAAAAGAACTCTTGGTCTTATAAGGCCTCATACTATGTACTTCTGTTTGTTATTTGAGGAAAGTGGCTCCCAGGTTGGGGGGAATCTATGAAGCTAGCAGCCACCTGCAGAGAGTCTGGAGATAGGATTTTGATGAAGGAGGCTCCATCAGGGCATGCCCATGGAATCTTTGGGGAGCTAAGCTAACTATGGAACAGTTTTTATCTTCAGTCTTGCCCTCCCCTCTGAGATGTTTATATTGACTTTAAATATTTTCATGTTTCAAATACATAGTGACATGTAATACCTTTTCTTTCTCAAGTGCTTTTATTTCATTTTCTTTGCCTGTTTACTTTGTAACTTTTTTAGTTTTTATTTTTGTCTGAGCTGGGGATTGAATGCAGGGCCTTGAAAATGTTAGGCAAGGGTTCTACTACTAATTAAAAATATATAAACTAAAAATTATACATATATAAACATGCACATTTACATATACACACACACACACATACGAATATGTGTACATTTATATTTGCACCTTGAATGAGCCTGGTAAAAAAACAAACAGCATACTATTATTGCCAGATTCTCAATTCAGATGTAGGACCTGGTGACTAATGTTGGCAATGTAGGGATTTTGGCATATTTTGTTAAAATTTTTCTTGGAGTGATGTCATTGTATAAAAGGAACAGCCACCTTAGGATATCTTTTGTGGATTGAGATGTGCGCGGGCAGGGCGGGAGAGGAGGCAAAGATTCTAAGGCCAGCAGATGAGAAAGAAATTACAGTAAGCAACTCTTAATTCTCAGTCCCTGCAGAGCAAGGACAGGACTGGCTGTCCCTGAGCCAGCAGTTTTTGCTCATTTCTGAGAATCCTTGGGACAACTTCTCAGGTTGGCAGAAGGCCACACAGTCCTCCTGCCAAAGTACACATAGCATGTGGTCCTTCCCATCTGTCACTGCAGAGTCTAGACCCACAGAACAAGAGGTAAGTCTGTAATGTCTCCTTTCACCAGTAAGAATATTAGAGAATGTGATTATTAGTAGGAGTTTTTGGCTGAGGATTTCTTCAGAGAAAGGAAAAGAAGGAAATCATTTCTACACATTGATAAAAAAAAAAGGTATGTTGAAGTGCTCTCAGTGAAATCAGCAGTAATTAGAAACTCTTAGAACAGAAACTCAGATCAGTTTGTAACCTTCCAAAATACAGATGAGAAAACTGAGGCCCAGAGACGTTAAGGAACTTGGCTGTGATGTAGTGAGTTATTGGAGCACCAGGCCTACAACCCAGCTCCTCTTACTTCCATACTAATATCTTTCCTTTACTGGTGCCTCTGAGTTTGGTCAATGGCTTCTGGCTTTTATTCTAAATCAAAAGAGGTTATATTTACAATTGTGGCTCTTTGTTCTTCAGGCCTCAAGATTTCATATTATGCAACTCTGGCAACATAAGTGAAGACTTACATTTTTAAAGTCCAGTATGAAGCAATAGATGCTGATAGCAGCCCGCCCTCAGCCCAAATGGAAAGGGGGAATGGAGGGTACTGGAGACTGACCTTACTGATTTTTTTTTTTTAATGATTCAAACTAAGGCTCAACTCTTCTGTTTCCCCTGATTTCTCTTTTATCTCCTAAACTATCCCAAGGTATTGGCTCAGCCTAATGAATTTGGAAATTCTTGCTAAACTCCCAATGCCCTTCATGACTGAATATTCCTGAAACAGGAAAATTAGAATTTCTGGGCTCTATTCAAACACAGGGCTGTGTGGTCTCTTGAGGATTTTCCCAGTATTTTTCTGTCTTTAAGCAGATTTTTTCCTGAATCAGCATGAAGTGAAAGAAATAATAACCTGAACTTTGAAGTCTGGATTTGAATCCTGTTTCCACCATTTACTACTTGGTAGATTTGAAACATTACCATATGGTCTCAACTTCTGTCTTTAGACTATATTGACCTATCTATGCATCCCTAGTCATATTCATAAAAATTTTACTCTTACTTTTTTTCTTTCATATTTTCTGTTTTCCCAACTCCTTTCTTTCTGCCTTTGTCTCCCATTATTGACTCTTGGGCTTGCTTCTTATACCAAAGGACTGACTATACTTCTCTCCTAATTATGAGTGAGGGACCTCAACACACTCACTCATAATTCTGCAATCTCATCATGGTGAACCTGCTGTAGAGATCATGTTCCATAGAAATAGAATTTTCAATAGGTTCAGAATTTTCTTTTCATTCAGACTTTTCTGATACCCTCCTTCTCAATTTGCTCCTAGTGTTTTTAAGTGGTTACTTATCTATTCAAGACCTAGTCCGAAGATTCCATGCTGGTGACTCCCAGACTGGCTTGCCTCCAGCTAACCTACCTGATCCATAACAGGGTTCAGAGGCATGTGTGAGAATTAGAACAAGAAAAAGAACCTATAACATTTCCAAATTATTTTATATCCTAGCAGTGAGGATCGGGACCACATGCTGCCTGAACGTGATAGATAACACAGTATCAGACGGGGCTGGTGGAAACTGTAAGAAGATAATGAGGAAGATGTCTCATGATGTGGCTCTCTGTTGCACTGCTGCCTCTAGCTCACTCATTCTGAGATACCTTTCCCCCAAATGATAAAAAAAAACTGTTACATACCCAGCGCCCATCAACTCTACACTGGGGATGGGATTATACTTCCGTGGGCATACCGCCTTTGTTATTCCACAGTCCCTTTCATCTGAATTATCTCCACAGTCATTTTCTCCATTGCATTCTAACTTGCTGGCAATACATCGCCCTGGTCAAGGAAAGCACACAACAGTGTTGTAACACATTCACATTTAAGAAAGTGTACTAAGTTGAGACACAAACATTTTACATTTTAAGGGAAGGGTGACAGAAGTTTTTATTACTTTTCATAGCAGTTTAGTATGGAAAGGGAGTGCTAAACTGAAATTTTCCCTTAGATTTTGAGTCTATACGAGTCACCATAGAATGATTTAGTTGCTGACAGTTCTCATTATTTTTTAAAAGAAAAGTAATTCTGCAATCTCATCATGCTGACCCTGCTGTAGAGATCATGCTCTATAGAAATAGAATTTCCCGTAGGTTCAGAATTTTCTTTTCATTCAGATGATAAGGCTGGGCCCCCGGGTTTTTTGTTTCTTTTGTTTTGGTATCCAGGGGATTTTACCATTAAGCCACACCCTGAGCCCTTTTTATTTATTTTGAGACAGGGTTTCAACAAGTTGCTTAATTGCTGTGGCTGACCTTGAACTTGCCATTCTTCTGCCTCAGTCTCCCAAGTTGCTGAGATTACAGGTGTGCACCACCACATCTGGCTTGAGTCCTTTTTATTGAAAAAAATATTATTTTACACTCACTCTCTCACTCACTCACTCACTCTACTGGTACCAAGAATAACATGGCTGATTTACGTTGAGCAAAAGAAGGCACACATAAGAGTCAAGCTGTATAATTCCTGTATGATTTTCAAGAACAAGAATAAGGTGAGGCATTGACTAGAAGGAAGAGGGGAACTTTTTGAGCAAATGGAAACTTTCAATATCTTCACTGGGGGTTGTTTATATGGTCGTAAGAAAATGTGTACACATTTGTTACAATCAAACTGCACACTTGGGATCTGTGTGTTTTAAATAAGTCACTATTTCACTGTAAATTGTTATTTATTTGATAAAATAGACTTGCTATATATTTTCCTAGATATAATTACTGTATATAATTGTTTTTAATACATGTAACTTATCATCTGAAATTATATTTTTGGACAATTTAAGTGCCATGGAAACAAAGTAAGTGCTGAGGCAGCAAGTTACCTGAGTTTGACAAATAACACAAACTCCATGAACTCAGATAATTTCCTTCCCTTTTTGTCTTGCTGACTTTCATAAGGATCCTTGAAATCAGTGAGTAACTGCATATTGTGCAAATTAAAATGTCTTGGCTATAATGACAGCCCTCCTTCCTATCCTTTAGTCTCTTGCTTTGTGTACCGTTGTTACTGGTATCACTGGCAAAAATTAAATGCCTTACTCATGATTATCTGGTTGACTAGTTTAAATGGTGATTGGAATCTCACTATAGCTATGCATTACTTTTTTGACTAAAATGGTTAGGGAAATTGGGTATTCTGTTCAATCAAATTTTTGAAATATTTTTCCTTATTTTACTAGCATGATATATTGAGGTCTAATTGATTTATATGTTGTTAGAGCCAGTTTTCTGAAGATTTTTTTTTTATCCACAATCAAGAGGGATATTGTTTTATAATTTTCTTATGACACTTCTGCTTGGCGTAGTGGTATGAATTCGGATGTGTTCCTGTCTCTTTAAAAAGCATTTTTAGTAGCACATTATAGTTACACATAATAGTGGGTTCATTTTGATATAATAATGTATGCATGAAATGTTGCTGCATTTCAGTTCCCAGTGCCTCCTCTTTTCCCTCCCCGTTTCCAACTTCCTATTCCTCATCTTCTACTCCACTGTTCTCCCATTTATTATTTATTTATTTGTTTATTTATTTAAATTGGTGATTTACAGATATACATAAAGGTGGAATTTACTGTTATATTAATATATGAACAGAGTACAATTTGGCCAGTTTTATTCTGCAGATTCTCTCTTTTCCCATTGTTCCTGCCTCCCCCTTAACCCACTTCCTCTACACCTCTGATCTTCCTTCTATTTTAATGGGATTCCCTGAGCATCTTTTCCCCCTCATTTTGGTCTAGCTTCTACACATGAGAGAAAATATTTGGATCCTTAACTTTTGGGTCTGCCTTATTTTACGTAGCATGATATTCTCTAGTTTCATCCATTTACAAGAAAATGTCACAATTTCATTCTTTATGGCTGAATAAAACTGCATTTTGAATATATACAACATTTTCTTTATCCATTTATCTGTTGATGGGCACCTGGGCTGGTTCCGTGACTGGGCTATTGTGAACTGAGCTGCCATAAACATTGATATGCCTATAGCCTATATCACTATAGTATTCTGGGTTTAGGTTTTTTATATATATATATATATAAATACCAAGGAGTGGGATAGCTGGGGTTCCTCAAAAAGCACTTAGTTTCAAGTCTTTTATTTAATAATCTTCAAATAAAAAGTAGAGTGTAATGAAAATAATTATCTTCCTTTGATTATTCAAGATCTTGCATTGTGTCCAGACCATTATTATAATTATACCTGCAAGAAGCATAATCATACAAAAATGAAAATGTAGATGAAATTGAATTTCTGTCAATCTCAAGATATAACCTGGAAGAGGCATCTAAAAAAACCACACACACACACACAACAATGTATCTTTAATTTGCTTTAAAGGAAAGAACAGAATGGATGATTTAATTTGAAACAGAGATGATTCCATTTGAAAAATGAATCTATATTACATTTAAAATTTTTTTGAACCTGGCACTTACAAATTTAAGAAGAATCTAATTTTTGGTATAGTTTCACCTTATAAAAGCATGATATTTTATTAAGAAGAAGTCAGGATACTCATGCAGGTTATGTTTGTTATTAGCCTAGCTTTGTACTTAGGGCATAGGATACAGGAGAATATAAGCAAATATATTCATTTGATATTGAAAGGGGCCAGTTAGCAAGTATAGGAATGAAAGAAAGATGATACCTTGGTGAGGACCACAACCAAGTTAAGATGGCGCCTGGCAGTATGTTAGGAGGAGTGGTTTCTGAGTAATGCCAGCGAGCCATTAAGATGATAGAGATTCCTTAATGACTGACTGCTGTGTCTAGGTTATGTCAATTCAGTTAAGCTGTGTGTAATCATTAAGATGATGAGGATTCCTTATTGGTTGACTGCTGTGTCTAGTTTATGTTAATTAAGATAAGCTGTGTGTAATTAGTTAAGTATATATACCTCTGCTGTCCTGCAAAAAAAGCAGCTCCCGCTGTATCAGTTTTCACAAGTTGCTCATCCCCCCCCCACCCCACCCCCACCCCCGTTAGTTTGCCCAGCCAGACTGCGGCAATACCTCTTGAGTGATGTTTAGGAATATGTGACCGCAGTAATATAGTCCTAGTGGGGACATAGCTGAGAATAAAACTCAGTGGAATACAACACAGAAAGGAACCAATATTCTAAGTCACAAATATACCTATAAGTCACAAATATATCTTATAGGCAGGGAAAGACGAAGGGCAGTTTTAATATTACAGGATTCATAGAGTTAGTATATTTTAGCTAGCACGTGCACATACAGCCTTCTTAATATGTGAGAATTAGGTTTCAAGACTCTGTGTTAATGCCTGAAATTTCTGATAGTGTCAAATCCTATATATTAACTATGATAGTGTCAAATCTTATACATTAACTAAAGTGCCTTTTACATCTTAACTAAACAGCTAACACACACTGTGACGATAACTTTGGCAATTTGAGGTCTGAAAGCCAAATCAGCACACGTTTCTTTTTCCTGCTTCATAATTTGATCGATAGTAGATTCAGTCTTATCCTAGATCTTAGCGACCTCAGCTTACTATTTTAAAATGTTCTTTAAGTCAAGAACTTTTGCCTTTTCACTTAAAGGAAGCACTTTATGGTTTCTCTTTGACATATCTGAATTTCCACCACTACTGTAGAGCTTTGGAGTACATTATTAATGATTTAGTAAACACAAGCATTGCCACAAGTTGTTGGTTGATCTGATAACTGAAACTAATGGGTGGGTAGTGTATACAGTGTGAATATACTAGACAGAGGGAAGATTCATGTCCCGGACAGGACAAAATGTAATGGCACAAGATTTTATCACTCTATTCAGAATAAAATATAATTGTGCAACTTAAAATTTAAAAATTGTTTTTTTCTTTAATTTTTCCTTTAGTATTTTTGGACTGTAGTTGACCATGGGAAACTAAAACCATGAAAGTGAAACTGTGGATAGGGGGTGATTACTGTATATATTGACCCTTGGAAATATGAAATCCTTTAGATGTTATTCAGATGTTTCCTGCCTACTTGAACTGATTTCTGTTACTGCAATACCAGGGTTGTTTTATTTTGTTCTGTTTTATCAATAGCTATGAACATATTGCTGGTCAATCGAAAACCTGCTATACTTGCACTGTTTTTTTTTTTTAATGAGTGTAAATTCTCTAATCTTTTATGCTTAAAATTAGGGCTTTGAGAGAGAAGTGCTCACAGGGCATGGGAATTAGTCTTATGAAGAATTCTCAAAATCCATGTGTACATTAAAATAATATATTTAATCTTAGGGACTCTTGGGATAGTCTGTACAGTGATTATGAGGGAAGAAATAAAACAAGGTGAGTCTGTTTAACATAGAGTATTAGTTTTAACTAATTCTTGTTAAGCGAGGGCCAAATAACATCCTAAGTCAGGCAAACAATTGTCCATCCAAACCCTCATTTTCATCCCCAGTGGCATTAGTGGGTTTTTAAAAGGACCATACAACAGCATATGACCTACAATGGAATAGTTAAAGACAAAAAGCCATGGAATCCCTAAATCAGAAAGGATATCAACCAAACCTATGCTGGAGGCTAATCAGTCAGTGGATGGACTGTGGGGACATCTAAAAGCTCTGGGTAAATGGGTCTGGACAGGGGAGCTCTGGGTGTTATGTGCTTACCAAATACTACAGACATGCAATAATGCAGGGTTTGGAGTTGTGTGTGCATGTGTGTGTGTGTGTGTGTGTATGTATGTGTGTGTGTGTTTTCCATCAAAAATGTCTATGGACATTTAACTGATGAATTGGAAACTAGATGTACTTACACGGCTAACTTTTCTGAAATCAGTCATTGTGTCCTAGTGATTCATGGATAAATCAAAAGCCTTCTCAAGCTTGTGAATATTTTTGGCTTATTAAAAACTCTTTTGTAATGAATTTCATAACATCTACTGAAATAAAGGAGCCTTTTCTGGTTATTTGTTGCAAAAACCATCTTTACAGCTTCAAATAGTTGTAATTCAGCTCTAAATCTTGATTTTTAACTCAATTTGTCGCATCATTCCAAAATGTGGGATGATCTGGAAACATGTATGAAAGTTTCAATATGGTACAGGATGTACAATATAATTATTGGGGCTGGGATTGTGGTTCAGTGGTAGAGTGTTTGCCTAGCACGTGTGAGGCAGTGGGTTCCATCCTCAGCAACACATAAATATAAATAAATAAAATAAAGGCATTGGGTCCATCTACAACTAAAAAATTAAAAAGATAATATAATTATTCTATCATTATTGTATAACTATAGTTTAATTTAATAATATATATAAACTAGATTATTATTTCCAAATTATTTTAATGCAACTGTGCCACTTTCACTGAAATATTCACACAGTTGAAACCTGGTTAATATTCTGGATGTAATGCTCTCATCTCTATCACTCTCAGCCACTGTCATTAAAATTTTGTTTGTTTTTGTCTCTTCAAGTCAATTTGTGACGTGACCTTATTCATGTAGACATGATGTATATTTCCCTACCCAAATCCCACTCTCATTTCCCAGAATTGGGGTAGCATAAAGGGAAAGTGTGACATCAGAATTTCTGCCTGACATCCAGAAATGTTGGCAGAGCTAAAGGCAAGAGGCAGGGACTATTAAGCACGCGGTGGGGGTTGTGTGGGCGAGGGTTAGTTCCAAGCTCTTGGGTAAATTTTCTAAGGAATTTGAAATTTGCTATCTTGTTATAAATACTTTACTTTTCAGTAGATCCCAGAGTACGTAGAAATGATGTAGAGTTCATTCATCTGAAATCTAATTTAGTTGTAACTTCACATTGACTATTTAGACAGGAGGTCAGTGAATGAGGGCTCACGTGCTAACACTGACCTGTTTCTATATAAAATTTTAATGGAGCATGGCCATGCTCATTTGTTTATATACTGTCAAGGACAGCTTTGGTACTATAGTGCCAGAGCAGAGGGGTAGCAAGATAGACCATATGGCCTACAAAAGCTAAAATATTTGCCATCTGGTCCTTTACTGAAAAGTTTGCAGAAATCTGATGTAGAATATTCAAAATGGTAACCATTAAAGAGCTGTTAATTAAAAAGAGAATACATAAGATTAATATAGTCCAGATTTGATTATAATATGATACTTAGATATCAGATTTCATGCATGTGAAGAGGATTGGACTTGTAGATAATGTTACCATCATTCAAATCATTTTCATCTTGTCTTCTGGAATTTCCTTTGAGTCAATCTAGAAAATTTGCTACATCATTTCAAGTCATCCCTCTAACATATTTCAATATTATTGTCTTAATAAACTATTAATATTTTTAAATCTGTTACCTCTTTTCAATTATTCTTACATACAGTCGTGTTTATTAATAGCCAATTTTTTAAAAAATGTGCCTTTATTTTTTTCCCATTCTTCTCTCTGTAGGGGCCTTAGCACCACTACTTGGTAAACAAGTAGTCAGTTGTACTAGCTTTGATTTAGTCAGGTCATTTTTTTTTTTATGGCGACTGAACATTTTACAAAAGTACATTACCACTGTCACAGCGGAATTTATTCTTGCAGTCAGTCTCTTCAATTTGGCAGAGCTTAGATGGAATGCATGGTTGGAAGGTCACCAGGGGCTCTGTACATGGTTGTCCCTCAAATTGACTAGGACGCAAGACAGATCTAACTTTAGTCTAAAAGGAAAGGAGAAAAATGTAAGTAACTTCAAGGCAGGACGAAGGTCAAAATGCATCTAAATGCATTTCCAATTACAGTGGTGATTCTTCCTGTGGTAGTGTTTCCTAAGTTTTATCAGCAATTCCAGCAGTTTCATTATTGTGCATATTTAGGGAAACCACTACCTTCTTGGACCTCAGTTTCCCGACATGTAAAATGTAGAAGTGGGGCAAAATGATTTATAAAGCTTCCTTTAAGTCTGAAATCATAATTCTAAATTGCATCAACATCAAATGTTTACTGAGCATCTCTAGAGCACAGTAAATTCTTCCAAGCAATAACAATAGTCCTTCTATATCTCAAAGACTTTGTGAGGTGAGAGATATGAAAGGATTTTGAGGTTCTTTTTGCATAAGGAAGTCACCATGGAAACTAAGGTTGACACAATCTCTACACTTTAAAAGGATTTTAAATGGTGAGTAGTAAGATGGAGAGTCAGGGAAGGAGAGAAACATGACAAGACTAACAAGTATTGACTTTGACAATGGAAAAGTTCAAGTTCAAATTGTAGCTGCTTCATTAATTAATGGTATACATTCTTGGGCAACTTATTTAACCCTTAATGAGCTATAACTTACTCTTCTATAAAATGGGTAGAAAAATATCACGTGATGTGAAGTTTGAATAAAGTGGTACATGTAAGGGACCCGGAATAGTTTTTCTCAGAGAATGTGTGCTCCATACATGAGTTTCATTTTCTTCTCTACAATGTGCACACTCAGCACACATGACCCTGACTGGGTTCACATGGGTCAATGCCCTTACAGGAATGAGCATGAGGTGGGTAAATATTGCAGCTGGGAACAATAAACATAATGGGGGACTTTCCGATGGGGACAGGTGATTTAGAGGTAGAGCAAAAAGTCAGGCTTTTGATTCATTCCTCTCACCTCTGGTTAGTTTGAAGCATTGGACTGGAATCTGTACCTGATTTCTCTTTCAAAATTCTCAGAAGGCAAAGGCAGTGGAATTCAGATATGGATAAAAATAAGAGCAATCCTGGAAGTAGAATTTCCTTTTGGTATTCATAAGGCAGCAAGGCATAGAAAGTGAATCCCTTCTTCCACCCCCTCCAAAAATAAACTGCTAAATGAAAAAATTCTCCCAGTGGTAGTGGAACCGTTTATCTTTAGAATCTGAAGCAATTTAGTATTTCTATGCTGTTAAATCTATCAGGGATCAGAGAACTACCAGGTTGTGATTCAGATATCCTGGGTGAGTCCAGGCATTACTTACCTGTTTTTGAATACATGGGTCACAGTCTGACCACGGCCCATAATCTCCCAAGAGGCAGTTGATAGGACATGTTTGCAAGTTACATAGCCTGGTCTCCTCTTTAGTACAAAGCTGGTCACATGAGTTATCCCAATAGTAATTATTTACTACTATTTGTCTGCAACAATAAGGAAAAAATTTGCTTAGAGTTATTCACTTTGGCCCTAACTCTGTAAAAAAAAAAGTCATTGAACATTACAGAGAATAAAAGAAGAGCAAGTTTTCATGGGAATTTGGGCAAGTTGGCATATTTATGGTCTACACACTAGGAACTCAGATCAGCTCCAGAATTTTTGAGGCCCAGTACAAAATGAAAAAAAAAAAAAAAAAAAAAGGGATCTCTTGTTCCAAAGCAAAGAATTTCAAGACAGTGATGACAGATCATGTAGCCAAGCATGAAGCCATTCTAAGCTTGGGGGTCTGTGCCAATGTACTGATCACATTCATGAAGCTTGCCTGATAGATCTCCTGGAAAGGACCAGAAGGAAAAGAAAAGAAAGAAGACAGGAAAGAAAATCCCTGTAAATTTCTTAAAAGGTGAAAACAAAATGTGTAAGTACAATGATTCAGACAGGGTCAGGGTAATGTGAGGCTGAAGATCTAAATACAAAGTGACAGGAGAGACATCTTGATTAATGTATGTGAATTCCCCAGATAAAAGGCGTAAGGTATTCAGAGGGAATGACAAAATTAGAGCTGAAAGAGAGAGTGAGAAGCTTGTATGACCATCCAGGAAGGAGTGTGTGATTGAGAGGCACGGCATATATTGTACTTTATTTGGTAGGTAGAGAGGTCCTGAAGGACTCTTGAGTAGAAGAGTATTATAAGCAAATCTTTTTTCATACACTTAGTGAATGATTTATTGGAATTCAATTGGTACTTTTCATGAGATTCACACTACATATGTAAAAAACAGCTTTCTAAAATAAGTCTGTAAAATGTGCTATCATAGTTAAAACAGATTAACCATATGCCCTTCTCTCTCAAGTCATGTGAGCATCTCCATGGTACAGAAACATTTCACAGAGTTACAGAAATTATGAGGGGTGGGTAATATGAATTGGTGAAAAGACTAAATACTACATCCTACCAAGTAACAGTTTTCTTGCCATCTTGTGTATGCCAACAATCAGTGCTGCTCAGCTGAGGTCCTGTTAGGCTCAGTTTAATGAGTAGAAAATTCTTTGTAATTAACTTACTCACTGTAAGCAAGCAGGGTTATGTGTTGTTTGAAAAAAGCTTGCAAAGCAATTCTGAGTAAGTCAGTCAACTGAAGATATCACACAGATTCTTAATTAACTTTTTTGGTGTCCTTTGTTTTTCTAGAGAGCACAAAAGTAGGCTTTGCTCACAATTCACAATAGCCAAACCGTAGAACCAGCCTAAGTGTCCATCAACAGATGAATGAATAAGGAAAATGTTGTGTAGACATGATGGGAGCTTTATTCAGCCACAAAGGAAAACGAAATGATGTCATTTACAGGAGGGTGGATGGAAGTTGAAATCATTATGTTAAGCAAAATAAGGTAAATCTAGAAAGTCGGGGGGTTGTTATGTTTTCTGTCATATATGGAAGCTAGAGAAGAAAAGGTGAAGAAAGGTCTTAGGAGGGATTTCATGAAAATTGAAGGGAGATCAATAGAATAGAAGAAAAGAACCAAGAGGAGGGAGGAGGGAGGGAAAGGGGAAGAAATGGGGTGTGATGTTGGGCCAAATTATATTGTTACATTGTGTGCATTTACGAACATGTAAACAACAAATCCCGCCAGTATGAAAAACTATAATGCGTTAATAAAAATATGGAAGAATAAAAACAAATACAAATAAAAATACGAAAAAAGTAGGCTTTGTTTTAACTTTATGTGCAAAAGATTTCAAATTCCATTCAAATTTATTAGCTCTTATTTGAGATATATTTTCCCCTATATCTTAGTGTGGCACCTCTGATACTGTTCTCTCCATTCTCAAGGTCTCCCAGGACACAAGGGAAAACTACATAGCTCACACCTACCTCTGCCTTCTCTGGGTTCCAGAATTGCAGGTTTTTGAGCAACTGGACCACTGAGTCCATGGGTAGTGATCACAGAAGCAACATTGTGCTCTGTCAATCAGCGCAGTCAGCAGGATGAAATAGAAGATGAAGTGTCTGGCCATGTCTTGAGAGCCTCCAGGCCCTGGGGTGGAATAATGTAATACATATTCAATATTTGTTGGGGATAACACTACAAGTCATTCTAAGTCACAGACTCAAACGTAATTTTAGGAAACATTTGCATTTTCTGCCTTCCTTAAGACAAGTGAACATACAAATTCACGTGCTTATGAGTACAAGTTTGATTTTAAAGATTTTTGGGGATGGAGATTACCATGGCTATAAGATCCAGTATATTATATTAACTTTCTTTGAACTAGAGTGGTAGAATACAAGATAAAGTATGTAGTAAATATCTGTAACTCATTTCATTCCATAAAATGTTAGAGATTTATGTAATCTTATTTTTTTCTCAGAGTGACGGCTCATTTTATGTGGGAAGTACCCATAATTACATTTCCGCTTTATGCTTTTGGGGGGACTGGGGAAAGTAGCTTGGGCTTCTTCTGTGCATCCTAAAAACCTGCTAAAGAAAGTTCGATGTCTGTCTCCACGATGTATGGAGTCACAGAAGTTATAGCTGGAATGGATCTTCAAAACCTGTAAGTCAAACTCTTTCTCATTATGGAGATGAAAATGAGGTACAAGGAGGAGGAAAAGGATTGAGACAGAATGAGAAGACTTCAAGACTCCTGGTTCTTAGGTGAGGTGCATTCCTTCACTGAATTTCCAGCAACACGAATTATTGTGTTAATGGAGCATCAAGCTGCCTGGAGCTCTACAACCCAGGCCACAAGAGAGTTCGATCCATATATACCAATGAAAACCTCTACCAGTGGTTCCCTACTATGTGCTCTAGACACATGAGCACCTGTCAATTATTTGCAAAATCATGTATGCCCCCAAATATTGCCAATTGGATCTTCATATAGCTAACAAAATGCAACAGGATTCATACATACATACATATATATACACATATATATGTGTATATATATGCAGATATACATGTTTATAGATATAAATATACACAATATTGCTGGATTAATATAGTGACTCTCACTTCAAAAAGAGTAATGCCACCCACCTAACTTCTTTTTCTCTCAGTTTCATTATCTACAACATAATACTTTTACCTCTTTTGTAAAGTTTTTGTTAGAATTAAATAAGAAAGCTTAGAACAATCCTTAGCTTAGATTCATCATTCAATAAAAATAAGCTTTTCGAATTAGAAATTACATTTAGGAGTGTTACAGACTTACAGGATACAAATCAGCATACAAAAAATCAATAGTTTTCTTATACACCTATAATAAATTTTCTGAAATCAAATCAGGAAAACAATCCCATTCACAATAATACCCCTCCACCCACAAAATAAAGTACCAGAAATAAAATTAATGAAGGATATGAAAAAGCTCTACACTGAAAGTTATAGAATACTGAAGAAAGAAATTGAAAAATACACTATAATAAGTAAAGACCTTTTATGTTCATGGATAGGAAGAATTAATATTAAAATGGCCACATTACCAAAAGCAATACACAGATTTAATGCCATCCTCATGAAAATATCAATGGCATTCTTCTCAGAACTAAAAAAAAAAATCAATGCTGGAGACATATTACAGAATTATAGCAACAAACACTGCATTGTACTGCAGCGTATGTGGGGCCCATTAATGACACATGAAATAAATTCTGTGAATCATAATGAACAACTTTTTAAAATAAAATATAAAATATCCAAAAGTTTTGTGTAGACCCTTGGCCTAAATTGTGCATGTTTCAAGGAATTTGGAGGTACATTTTAATAGACAAGAAAAGTATTTGATGGAAGGGATAGGATGAGTAGAATATACATTGGCAAAGGGATGATTTGCCACCTTTGCTTGCAGCTGTCACTTAGTGTTCACAGCAAGTATACTCTTGTGCAGTTTAGCTTGATATTAACATGACTCTCAGCGAGATGAAAAGTCTGAGATAGTCAACTCAGTTCATGCGCAAATTTCGAGTTCAATTTTTGGAAAGATGTTACCTATATTCTTTCTTTCTTTGAGTTAGCAGCAATTATTATACTTTATGAAAACTAGAATAAATTACTGTTAAAATGGATCATTTCTTTATAAAAGTTTCTTTATAAAAAAGAAAGAGGATAATGAATGAAATATATAGAAAATGTGTTCTGGATCTGTAATTGTAGGAATTGACAATACTGAGCAAAATATTGACTGTAATCTTCCAACTTCAACTTCATTTGAACCACATTTCAAAAAGGAAAAATTAAGTACAAAATATTATAATGAAGATTACTTAAAATATGGTTTTACCAAATGTGAAAAACCTTTTGAAAATGACAGACCTCAGTGTGTTATTTGTAATAATATTCTTGCAAATGAAAGTTTAAAACCTTCAAAATTAAAAAGTTACTTAGAAACTCAGCATACTGAACATATTGATAAGCCTCTTGAATATTTCCAAGGAAGAAAAAAGACATAAAGATATCAACACAATTTTTCTTCATTGGCCTACTGCTAATGGGGAGAAGATCTTATTGTCATCATATTTTCTTCCTAATCAAGAAAAGGTTCAGACAACTGTTGAAGAAAATTGTCCTTCCAGCATGTTTGGTATATTATAATTTTGATGATAATTCAGCCGCTAAATGAAAAACTATGCCTATATGGAAGACAGTCTAAAGGAAAAGAGAGAAAATTAGTGGGGGTGGGAGGATTCCATCAAAATAGAAGAAAGGTCAGTGGAAGAGAAGGAGGGGGTGAGGGGGAGGGAGGAGAGACAAGAAAAGGGAATAACAAATACGAATATGCCACAGTGAGTCTCAGCATTATGTAATTCATAATACATTTTTTTTAAAAAAAGCTGTAGGAAAATAGCAAAAAGTCAATAGAGTAAAGGAAATAGGGGGATGGAGGAGAGGAAGGTAAGGGGAAGTAATGGAATCTGAAAACAAAACAAAACAAACAAAAAACCTGTACTTAGTGATAACACAATATCTCTTGGAAATTGTACTATTGCAGAACATTTAGAAACAACACTTATTATTTGGTTTCAATCTGGTATAAATTTTGCAATCCAGCTGGATGGAAACACTGATATTGGAAGTTACACAGCCCTTCTAGTTTATGTTAGATTTTATGAAGGATTTTTTTGTACCTTTTAAATTTAAACTCACATCCAAGTGAATTTGATACAGAAAAATGAAAGCGCATTGTGGGTCAGTATACATTCAACTGGAAAAACTACAAAGTATTACAAGTAATAGAACAGCAAGAATAACTGGAAAACATTGCAGAGCAATTAACAAGTTGCTGGGAGTTACTAATAATGGTGCTGTGTGGAATCATTGCTTTATAAATCATGAAGCTTTAGCATCCAGAGAAATTCCAGAGAGTCTCATGGAAGAATTGGAAAATGCAGTAAATGCTTCTTGAGACAGTTTGTTCATAATTGGAACTAATCATATGCATGTACTGCATCATCCCAAAGTTTTTTGGTTTTCTCAAGTGAAAATACTAACCAGGGTTTATGAACTCAGGAATGAGATACAGAACTGTCTGTAATCCTATCATCTTAGGAGTCTGAGGCAGAAGAATAGCAAGTTCAAAGCCAGCCTCAGCAACTTAGCCACACCCTCAGCAACTTAGTAAGACCCTGTCTCAAAATAAAATATAAAAAGGGATGGGGATTTGGCTCAGTGGTTAAGAGTCTCTGGGTTCAATTCCTGGTAACCCCTCCCCCCAAAAATAATAATTTAGCAAATTTTTGGGGTAATAAAATTGTCATACTCAAATGATATTTTTGACATTTTTAATAAGGTGAGTTTAAAATTATAGGAGAAAACAATGATGTATTTCAACATGCTGAATATATCCAAGCATTCCAAAAGACATTGTTATGGCATGCAAGGCTTAAAAGCTACTACATGTTCCCAAGGTTTTACAACATATTGAAGAGAATATTATTAAGGAAAGAAATTTGAAAGAAATGAAATTGAAGATATTGTTGTTTCTTACCTCTCTATCTCAAACTTTTGACCATTTCTTCCCAGTAGAGAAATTTGAGACACTGAGGGAAAACAGTCGGTAAAAGATCTATTTGGGGGCGGAGCTGGGGTTATGGCTCAGTGGTAGAGTGCTTGCCTAGTACGTGCGAAGCCCTGGGTTCAATCCTCAGCACCACATAAAAAATAAAATAAAGGTATTGTGTGTAACTAAAAATAAATATTAAAAACGAAAGACCTATTTGCTTTTTGAAACCTTGAAGCAGAAATTGGGCTAAACTTAGTGTCTGGAGAAGAAAAAATTGGGCTAAACTTAGTGTCTGGAGAAGAAAATGAATTACTACAGCTTAGTTCTTCATATATACTGACAAACAATTATGAGATCTTAGGTTTTTTGTTTTATTTTGTTTTGTTTTTTCCTGGTGGTGCTGAGGATTGAACCCAGAGTCTTGTGGATGTTTGACAAGCCCTCTATCAACTGAGCTATATCCCCATTCCTGAGCATTTCAGAAGATATTCCTTTGCTAGGTAGAAGGAGTATCCTGCTATTACTACTATTCATGAGAACTAGTTAGTGTGAGCTGGAGTTTTCAATGTGACCCAGTTAAAATCAAAGAAAGAAATGGGCTGAATTGTGTGGTAGGTATGTAGACAGAGTTATCTTCTGTGCTCCTGACTGGAAGGAGCTTTTGAACAGGAAAACACACTCATCACATTAATAAAATCTTACTTAGCTTTTGTTTTTGTATTATTTAATGTTATTTTGTAATATTTTCTATTTCATATAAATGTTAATGTGACATTGTATGTATGTGACAACTTTTTATGTTTTACAGTTGCTATATTTAAATATTAATACAATCAAGTGATTCTGTGTTCATAGAAAAAAGGATTTTTTGTTACTTGTAGGAAAATGGATTGAACTTGATACTATTAGATTAAGTGAAATAAGCCAAAATCAGAATGCCAAGAGTCATATGTTTTCTCTTATGTGAAAGCTGGAGAGGGAAAAGGAAAACAAAAATGTGTGTGTGTTGGGGTGGGTGTCTCATGAAAATGGA